CCAGCCTTGGGTCCCTGCTCCACATACTGACCAGTAAGTCACCCGACTTTATCTTCAGTCTCTACTTCTGTGAAATAGGGTAGTAACATCCAATGGGAGGTTTAGTGAAAGCCTTCAATGTGATCATGTTTGCAGTGCACTTAGTAAAGTGCCTGGCCCATAGCAGCTGTCCAATCAATAGTGGGTGTTTTCTTCAGTTCACGGTTCCCTGGGGAATCCTGTCTTCTTGTCACAGACACGCGCTGTCAGCCAACAGCTCTTCACTCAAAAGGCCTGAGGGGTAGTCGGTATGAGGACTGGCAAAGTGGCCTCGAACCCAATGCCTGGACCTTCCCAGTCAGGTTGTGTTGAAAAACCCCCAAAGAAGATGGGAAGTGGAGATAGAGGCTCTTCTGTCCCCAAACACACCACAGTCCTTGACAGATTGAAGGCTCCAGAGACTGAGTTCATGGAAAACCCAAGGGGGCTCTTCTGCCAGCTCACAGCTCCACTGAGGAGGAAAACATGCCATCTGTTGGGTGCACCATTCAGGGACATTTTGGAAGAGCAGCACATGGGGGTATGTGTAGATATTCAGACACTAGGCTCAAGGTCTTTCTCTCAGTTCTGTACTCACTCTTATGAAAATCCTGAAATCTCGAATAATAATTTCCCCTTAGAAATGATTGCTGGGGAAAGCTTACTCTTTGCTGAAATGGCTACAATACACATAGAACGAGCACTACAGACCTCCATCAGGTCCCCCCCTTCCCTTGGCTACCAGGGAGCCCTGAGCCAGGCTGTGTGTTGATTGTAGTAGTCATCTTCTGCCCAGGTTTCTCAACGCTTTTTCCAACTTCTTCGTTTCTTGGCTCCTTTTTTCTTACTTTTTTAAAAAGCTTCTATTTTATATGTATCTTCTGTCAACTAGTTTCAAGTGCTTTTTGGAAATCAGTGGATATAAATAATAGAGTATAGGGTTCCGGCTCCTTAATTAAGATAGTGATCTTTCCTCAGAAACCCATGTTTGTCTGGGTTATTTTTGGCTCCTCAAAACACCCAATGAATGGTCTGCTCCAGCTCTGCTGTTGATCAAGCCGGAAACCAATGTTTGTGTTACAGTCTCCACACTGGGAGGCAGTGCTGCTGAGTGAGCACAAGCTTTGGAGTCAAACAGAACTGAGTTCAAATTCCAGCTCTGCCACTTATTAGCTGGGTGAATTAGGGTAAATAGTTTAACCCTCATCTATAAAATGTGAACTGTCACCTGCCTTGTGGGTTGTCACAAGGACTAAATGGAATAATACATGCAGAAGACTTAGCAAAGTACCTGGCACATAGTAAGGCTTTAGTAAGTACTAATGATCATAGTGAGAATAACAATTAACCCCATTTATTGAGTACTCACTGAACACAGAATGCACAATGCATTTCCGGCTGAGCAGGAGGGTTGGAAGGAGGGCTGCCCACCAGGCCACTGTCAGTCTCTCCCCACTAACTGAGCCCTGAGGCTGTGTTTATTACCTGTTCCAGAAGACGGCCCCTGAGATCTTCTGCATCTCCCCCAGGGTGGCAAGGAGGAGAGAGGACTTGCCACAGCCCACCTGTCCTACGATCATGGTCAGCTGGCCTGCAGGGAAGGAGGGCGACAGATGGGAGTGGGGCCAGGAGGGAGTGTGAACAACCACCGCCCAGAAAGACAGACAGATACACTCGGGGCCCCATCTGCTTTCCTCCTACCTAGACTCCCCAGGGAGTCATTCCTCATTTGAGCCTTTCTGTGAGAGAACCTATGTCCTCCTTCTGGCTCCCTGGGTCTTTTCTCATCAATGACTCCCCATTCCTAAGCATTTGCTTCTCCTTTCCATTGCTCCCCAGTGTAAGCCCAGCTCCTCATGGTCCCACTAACGCCACCCTGGGTCCCACCTTCATCCCACTTCCATGCTTCGCTCATGCTGTTGTCCCTGCCAGGATGGCCACCCTGCCTTATGGCCCAAGGGACCCTGCTCATTCTCAGAAACCCCACCTCTTCCACAATGCCTTCCTTGGCTACTTGGGTCTGACCTTTCTGTGAAGCGCCCTACTCTGCATCCAGTGGTTTGACATCAAGGCCCCCTTTCTTGTCCTGTCCTTGCTGCCACAGTCCCACCTGGCACATGGACTCCTCGAGGGTGAAGCCCACCTGCTCTCTGGCGTTCATATCCCAGAGCACCCACTAAGGGTACACATAGAGCAGGTACTTAGTAAATGCTGATTTTTCTTTTTCTCTCCATATCATTTGGTGGGACATGGGGAGGGGGACACTTTAGACGTGAGTTTCTTGTCCTGTCCTTGCTGCCACAGTCCCACCTGGCACATGGACTCCTCGAGGGTGAAGCCCACCTGCTCTCTGGCGTTCATATCCCAGAGCACCCACTAAGGGTACACATAGAGCAGGTACTTAGTAAATGCTGATTTTTCTTTTTCTCTCCATATCATTTGGTGGGACATGGGGAGGGGGACACTTTGGACGTGACTTGTAGACTTGTAGCAGGGCACCTCCAGACCATGATGGAAGGATGAGTTGGACTATACCTCGGGGGATGCGGATGGTGACGTTGGACAGTGTGGGGATTCCATCAGGGGTCCATGTGAAGAAGCCTCCGATGACCTTCCCGAAAGGGAACAGAAAGGCAGCTGGATTCTCAGTGTGAAAGTCCCCTCCTCCATGAAAGCTATAAAACACCGATTCCAGTCCCTGGATCTGGACTGGCAGCGGGTGAGGGAATGGCTTTCTCCTGCTTACCCTCACCCGAGGCATCCTCCCCAAGAGGACAGCCATGGGTCTCCCTACTGGTTGGGATGGGAGACTTGTCCTTTGTCTCGGGACTTCTATGGACCCTACGGGTAGGCAGGGTGACCTTGGGGCAGAAGTCAGTACATAGGTCTCTGGCCCTTTAGGTACTGAGCTCCTTCCTGGAGATGGCGCCTTGGGGCTGGGCTTGGGGTGCAGGGTCTAGGACTCACCTGGACACAGCAATTGTCAGCATCCCCGTCTGCACTGGGGGCCAGCCTCTGCGGTGGACCCATGAGACCCTGACAGTCCTCCCGGGCTGGACACTTGCGGTTCACAACCTTCAGGGGCTAGGGATAGTTAGGAGGAGGTAAGGGCCCATGGGCCTGGGAGCTGTGCATGGAGAGGAGTCCCCCTTCCTGTGAAGAAAGGCCGAGGCAGGATGCAGCAGGGCCAGAGTAGCAATGGGAGGCCAGGCACTCACCACTGTCTGGTATTTGCTAGCTTGGCCCTGGGGCGCGGGCTCTCGGGGAGCACACTGCTCCTCCCGGATCTCTGCACTGGATAAGAACTCGCTCAGCTTTTGCACGCTGCAGATGAAGCACAGAGACACCCCTCACCCCTGCCAGTGGCAGAGGGGAGGGAAGAGAGGAGAGGGTGCAGCCTGAGAGAGCAGCTCTGAGAAGATTCTTGGCTCTGGGGTGTGGCCCCTACAAAGCTCCCATTGGAGCGGGGATAGGGCAGGGGGCATCCATGGTGGGGGCAACAGGTGTTACCAGGATTTGTTAGGGTTGATTAGTCAGCTGGAGTAAGTTGGGGTCTGGATTATGGCGGATTTGGTTAATTTTAGGGTTCATTTTATGTTAAGGTTGGTTAGACTGAAGGATGGTTGGTGTTAGGCTTTGTCCGTTACTATTAGAGCTAAGGTTGGTCTATATTAAGGTTAGCTAGAATTAGGATTTGTTATTAATAGCAGCTAATATTGAGCATGGAGTATATACCAGACACTATGTTAAATGCCTTATTGGCATATAATTTCATCCTGCAGGGGGAGATGTGGGGAGGTGTTAGTGCTAACTCATGGAGCAGGAAGCTTTTTCTCCAATCTCTTCCCCGCCAGGGGATCTCCTTCTGGACCCAGAGGAGGCTCCAGAAGTTTCGATTCATTCATTCTCTCATCCCTGGGACTGTGGAAGCTGTCCAGGAAAGCTTGAGAATTGTTTGTATACTCCTTTCCTCCCTTTTGCTAAATGTCCAACAGGACTGGTGCCTGACAAGCCCTCCAACTCTCAAGGCAAGAACAGTCTAGGGCTCTAAACGCTATGACTCTGCGCATGACCACCGCCCCTCCCCTGACCAGGAGTAGACTGCCAGTCTCTGCCTGCTTCCCTCTGTCTCTTGTTGATCCAGCTCTCTCTCAACAGTTGGTGCCTGGGAAGGTTGAAGCTGGCCTTGTGTCCTGCTCCCATCTTCAGCCCAGAGTCTGATCTCCCTCTTTAAAAAGGCCTCAGCTATGTGGGTGACAGTGAGGTTAGGACAGTCTGCATGTGGAAATGCTTCTGAATCAGCATAAGCGATTTTCAACAGGTGCAGCACTCTCGAACCTGTGGTTTATACACAGAACCACAGGGCTGGGGTGGGAGTGGGGGAGGAAGGGTGATTATGAGAAGTCACAATGCTGTGGCCAATAAAACTGAATCAGCACAGCTAACCCTGGAAATGGGACTTGATCATTTTCCAGACTGCTACTCCTTGGTTAGATATTCCTTCGACCACAATCCTGCTGAGTTATGCTCCCTTCTATCCTTGAACCCCTGCCAGAGCTTCCTTGTATAAATTGTGCCTCCCATCAGCTACTTTATTCCAATAGCTACTCCTCTCTGCCAGCTGTCCAGAACCTGCCAGAGTCCCATGAGACACGGGTGTCACTTCCCTCAAGGCTTAAGAGTCTTGGGTACAGAAGACATTTGTTACTGACTGGTACCATTGATGATGTGAAAGGACATAGCTCTCCTAAGAGGCATGACAGGCCATTGCTCTCAAGGAGCAATTTCAGAGGCCCAAAGAGATCGTCACACTCCAGCTACGGCATCCCCCGCTCCAGTCAAAGCTTCAGCCTTCTACTTTCAGGCTTTCATTCCTAAGAGGGGGATGCCTCTGGGAGACTGGCAGAATCACCACTTGGCTCTAGAGCCTGGAAGTGGGGGCCTCCAAGAGGTGCAGGCCAACGGCGGATAGGATGTACAGCCATGTTGGGGAAGCTGCTTCACCAACGGGGACTGTGAAGACTCTGGGACCCATGGGAAGAACAGGGGATGCTCAGTGTGGGGAAGATTCAGTGGACGCCTTCTGAAATCTGAGGGGCTGTCCTGTGGGGAAGGGATGGTGCTCATTCTGGGTGGCTCTGGAGGGTAAAACCAGGGCCAATGTGTAGAATTTATGAAGTGTACCAATTTTGGCTCAATATTAATTTTTTATTTACCAAGTTACCTTCAAGGTGACACTGAGTTCCCTCTCCTTGGAAATATGCAAGTAAGTTGGCTAGTCCTTTCTCAGGGATGGTGTGAAGGGAAGCCACGCATGGCCTATGTCCCTTTGACCAACCACAACCAGCTCAGAGGTCCCAGGGGGAGTACGTCCTGGGACAAAACAGATGTGGTTGCAGTGGTCACCAGAGCAAGTCCCAGGGCTGCCACAGGAGCTGCCTGTCTAGTGTGCTTGCTGGGTTCTCCTCTCACCTGACCAGAGCTTTGACTGTAGACCGGACCACACTGGACAGCAGGAACAGCGGTGTGATCAGGATGTGGAAGAGGGAGAGGGAGGCGAAGGCCACAGACGGCGAAAAGTCCGCCTCTTTGAAGAAGCTGACGTGGCCCACGAAGGTCTGTGGACAAAGGCAGATGTGAGACAAGGGTGACTGAGCATGGGGGCTCCTCGTACTCGAAGCACTCGGCCCGTGGGAAGGAAACACGAGGCCTGGAACAGGGCACTCGAGGGGATCTTTCCGTTAAGGACACCATCATCCTCACAGTCATCTCATGGCAACAACCCTGGCAAGTTCAGGACTTCAAGCTGGAGGGCTGGGGCCGCTCCTTCCCTGTCCTGCCCACCCCTTGCCAGGAAGGACCAGGGAGGAGTCCTCAGGTTAGGTCAGCTCTGCCCCGTCTCAGACAGCAGTCCTCAGCCGGGAAAATGGGAACAGCCAACTCTGTTACCCAGAGTTCTCTGAAGAACCAGGCCAGAACCAGCACAATAAATCAGGCTGAAAGTGAATTCCCAAGCATGCCTGACAGGCTGTAAACTCACCATAACTCAGGGACACTGGCCCCAGGGGAAATACATGCATCTTTTTAAAGAACTGCAGCCATCATAGAAGCCAGGGAAAAGAGCCACGAACTTATGGGGGCCCAGGCCTTTCTGGAAGGGCGTGCTGCTGTCCCCCACTGTTGAGCTCACACGCAGTTCTGGTCAAAATCACTTTAGAAAACCTCCACTGTAATAGTTAATGACGTGGAGAATTGTTCGTGCCATATTCTTATGTTTCAAAAGGCAGATTACGAAACCGCATGTGCAGCACAATCCTATTTTTGTAAAAAGGTCATATTATGTGCCTTAAAAAGCGACTGGAAAGAAACACATTAAAGGTGCTGCCAATGGGATTATGGGTGATTTAAATTCTCTCTGCCCTTTCCTTTCTAAATTTCTCAACATTTCTACAATGAACATGTTTTGCTTTTATAATTTAAAAAGTTTCATAGCTATTTTCAAAAGAATGTTTAATTTTTTTAAAGACTAAGCCTCAGGTCTTCCGGGACTGGAGGCTGAGGCCCCAGTCTGCTGAAGCGGGAAGGGACCCGCCCGGTATAGACTTTCAGTCCATGGCCCTATTTTCAGCCTGACTGCTGAGCCGTCTTACAAAGTCCCTTTGCAGAAAGGCCAAACCCCGGGTGGCCTCTCACTCCAGACATCCTGCCCCCCATTACCCACCAGGAAATGGAGGAAAAATCTACTTACGATGAGGACAGCTGCAATGGGGATGGCTGTGTTCATGAAAACTGCAGAGGAAGCACAAGGGGAAGCTTAGTGAGAGGCATGAGACAGCTAAAAATGAAGCCGCTCAGGGCAGCTTAGAGGCAACGTGGCTTGTGGGGTCCTCTCCCCAGCCTGCAGGTGGGGCTGGGGCAGAAGTCTAGCCCTGTGCCACCTGCAGCTCCTTACCTATTTCCCTCAGGACGCCTGTCCCATGTCTCTGAGACTTAAGCCTTTAAATAAAGGCTTAAATGCTCCTATCTGTTCCAGGTGAACGGCGTGAAGGAAGCCCCATGAGAAAGTGGTGAGACAAGGGATAGGAGAGTTGGCTGGTTGTGGTCAACAGCTCGTGTGTCTGGGGCACCAAGTTGCTACTTCTTCCTGTGCCTTTGGTTTCTGTGTCTCTCAAGCTAGGTTCTCTCTAAGGCTTAGAGCTTTCCAGATCTCCCATGGCTCTTGGGAAAGATTTCCATCTCATTCACAATGAGGTGTCAGTGACTAAAGACAGCTGAACACAGGGTGTCCCTTAGTCCTAAGGTTGAGAGTCCATCCCCAGGTGGGGCAGTTGGTTTGCTTCTTATTCTGTCTAGAGTAAGGTCCTCAGACCTGTCACAGGGACACCAGAGAGCAAAGAGAGCTGGACTTAAAGTCAGAAAAGGGTGGAGTCCCTGTTACGTATAAGCTGTGCAGCCTTGGGTAGCTCATTTCCCTTCTCTGTGCCTTGGTGTCTTCATCTGATTTTTGTAAGTTTGTACTTGTCCACACACTCTGGCTCTCTCCAAGGCGAGAGGAGATAATGCAGGGAACAGGCTCTGTGAGCCTTAGGTGCTGCCTGACGATTATACCTCATGAACTACTAGCTTAGTCCTACTCCACAGGTAACTGCTCCTCTGGCCCAAAGTCTGAGATGCCTGAGGTTGGGCATGGGGTCCTGAACTTCTTCCAGAGAAAGTAGCCCTTCTAGAGTAAGAGATGGCCATCTAGCTGCCACCTTCCTATCTCATCCTTCTTCCTTCCATCCAGGAGCTTCTTCCAGGCCAGCCCAGAAAGGAGTCTGGTTCTGTAATTAGCCAAATGAAAGCAGAACGAGCCGGGAGCCAGAAGCCAGAGGCCAAGGGCTCAGACTGTGCATATGGCGAAGTCTCTGATACTCTGAAGAAGTCCAGATGGTCAACACCATTCTAAGAAGCTGACTGTCCAATTACTGTAATAATCCTGCTCTAGCAAGTACACACACAGTGTATGTTAGAGATGCGGCCCCCTGAGTGGGTGGAAGAACATGGCCCCTGCCTTCACGGGGCTCCTAGTTTGAGGAAGGAGACAGATCTATGCTTCCAGGAAGGCCCTGAAATGCTGAGGAGAAAATGAACTTGCCCCTAGGGTGTTCCCAGGCAGATAGGAAAGACACTGTGTCCATCTTGGGGGATTCCTAATCTGATGAGGGAGACATAGCCCCTGTCATGGCAGAGCTCCCCGTCTCATAGAGGAGACATGACTGGAGCTCTTGGGGCACCGCTAATATCTCTGACCACAAGGCTTTTTATCAACACCAATATCACATGTGACCATGCTTTAACTTTTCATCCAGAAGAGTCCTCTATGTCTCTAGGTGCCCACTGCAGTGCCACAGACCTCCCTCATAATCTCTGGCAGTGTAAGCATTATTGGTTTTCCTACATTAGAAGAAATCAGATCTGGGACCCAGGACTCCTGTGAGGCCTAGGGCCTTTGACCATCACCAGCTACATAGCTCTAAACATGAGATAGTCTTGCCCCTCCCCTCGAGGGCCAGTTATTTCAGGGAGCTCCCTCAGGGCATGGGCCTCATTCTGTTCCTCTCCTGCCCCCCCCCATCAATTATCAAAGAGGAGGGGCTCAAGCTAGAGAGGGCACCTGTGCACCACCCCTTGGCCCCCTGCCCCAAGCCGAGACCCCTCCCACATATTTTGGGGCTCATCTCCCAGCTAAAAAATAGGCTTGGAGTTAGACTGTAAATTGGTACAACTCTGCTTAGAAAGCAATCTGGTGTTTGGTAGCTAGAGCCACACAGAAGTTTAGACCTTCTGATCCTGTAATCCCTCTCCTGGGAATTTATCTTGAGTATGTAATTATTCAAGAGAAGCACAAAGCCCTCAGCAAGACGGTGTTAGCTATAGCACTATCTGTCACAACAAAACAAAACCACAACCACAGCAACAAACCATCTGCAACAAAATCAACCGGTAACTTCCAAGAAGGGCTGTTTTAGTAAAATGTGTACATCATCTCTCAGGGAGATTCTGTAGTCAGAAACCATGTGATAATTGACATTTTGTTCTATTGCATGCTTTCCTGGTCGTGACTTTTTTCAATTTATTTTTTTTCCACTTTGTTGTCTTTATTCTTGTAGCTGCCTGAACTCCTTTGAGGCATGAGACAAACTATAAGTAAATTTAAAAAAGATACAACGCTGATGAACCGCTAACAAGGAGAATACATATGATATAATGAATTTCCGCCCTGTTCTGACTGTTATATGAAGATACTAAGGATGAAAATATAATTTTCCATTTCCTGCACCCTCTCCTGCAAGGATGGCCTTTGTGCAGGGGCTTTGGGTCCCCTTTGGTGGCGGGGGGGATTGGAAATACCAGCTGCTTGTGTTTTAAAAGCCTCTCTGAAGATCACCCCCTTGGGGCCTGGGGTGGACATTGCTGGAACTGGGGATGTCAGTGCCAGAGGCTGGGAGGCCTGTGAGGCTCTGGCACCTCTCTGAGTTCAGCAGACATCCGTGCACCCTAGTGAGGGAGAAGAGGGAAAGGAGCTGGGCATCCCAGCTGTCATAGGTCGAAGGCTTGTGGCCTTTGCCTCTATTTTCCTGAATGACATACGGCCCTGTAAGATATTAAAAGTGATGCAGGGGGAAAAATATATGACTGAGAATACATTTCTCTCCAACTTTGGCATGGGGTGGGCTGACTCACTTTGACTTGATGTAGGGAAGAAGAAAAAGGAGAACATGATAGTGCTTAAATCTTGATAGAGCAAGAAATCCTGTTAAATAACAACTAAGTGAAAGCAGAAGATTACAAAATGATGTGCGTGATACTGTTACGGAAAGTTTAGTTGCATGGAGGCGGGCCTGAAAGGCCACCTTCGGAAGCAAAAGCCTTTCTGTAATGGTGTAGAGATGTGGGTAGGTGTTGTTTTAATCTTCTCCCCAAAATATCCTTTAAGAAGTATTTATTCAGAAATTATTTTTTGAAGATCTTCTCTGTTCCAAGCATGAGCTGGGTTCTGGGGGTACGGTAGTGAACGATGTGTCAGCTTTTCATATTCCCCCCAAACGAAACAAAAACAAATCAACAAAAGCAAAGCTGGCCTCAGATCACCGCTCCCCTGGGTTTGCCTAAGGAATGCTGCCTGACCTTGTGGGCGCTGGCAAGTACCACAATACTAGCAGCTTTTCATTTCCAAAGTATCAATAAATATTTCAGAAGCCATGTGTCAGGGAGGCACAGCCAGCCATTTGTGCCTCTGGTTAACTTCAGCTTTGTCTCCCTGGGGGGCCAGGAGGAGCTACAGCCTCACAGTCTGTGATTGCAGATTGCTCTGGATGGAGGGAGAAGTGTATTTTGAAGTGCACAGAGCTATTTTCTATTCAATCCAAGAGCCATTCTGAAGTCCACAGAGGGGGAAGGAAAGCAGGTTAAGGGTGTACCTGTCACTGGCAGCGGTGAGAACCCCTCAGGAGGCCCCACAAGTCACACCGATTTCTTTTCTGTCCCTTTCATTGATGAACCTCCCTAGCCCTCCCAGCTCAAGCAGGCCAGGATTTGCATCAGCAACCCACTGCGGCTGCACCAGCTGGCCACAGGAAGGGCAAATATTGAAGAATTTCAGGGAAGCTGGAGAAGGAAGCAGGACCAGGTCTGGAGGTCACCTTGTCCCTGACACTGGCTATTCTGAGTCAGGGCCCCCACCAAGGAGGACAGAAGGGGCACGAGTCTTGGGCTGTGGAGAAGAGGCAGGTGCTGGGTGCCCTGTGCGTGGGGTTCGCCAGCACCATCTTGCCCATGCCACCCCCATCCATGGCAGAGCTGGAGTTTCGAGTGTTTTTTTGTTTTTCAGGACATAGTAAGAAGTCAGTCACACTCATCCAAGGAGGGCCCGTCTGACTGTGGTTCAGACTGGACTAGGAAGAGGAAAGACCCCCGACCCTAGAACACTGGAAGAGATGGCAAACACATCTTCCCTTTACTTAAACTCCTTCAATGGCTCCCCTGCCCCAGGAGAAAGCCCAGAGGCCTGAACGCAGGGCACGGGGTCCTGCATGATCTGATCTTGTTTCCTTCTCCTCATCAGATTATCTTCTCTTAAACACACCATCATCCTTCTCACCTCTAGGCTTGTGTGCCCGGAACATCCTTCCCCTCATCTGGTTAACATATAGTCATTCTTCGGGCATCGGCAACAAGCTTCACCTGTGACAAAGCCTCCTTGACACTCACCAGCCTTAAGACTAGGTTAGTTACAACTTCTCATGGGGCCCAGAAATATCCCTTTCTATTCCTGTCATTCACAACATAGTTTCATGTCTGTCTTCCCTACTAGACTGGGAGCAACCTGCAGGTAGGGACCGACATTTCTTCTCGTCACTGCATCCCCCATGCTTAGCACAGGTCCTGACACATAGTAGGTACCCAGTAAATATTTGTTAAATAAGTGAATAAAAGAAACAAAAGAAGCCAGGGCCGAGTGAGTACCACAAAAGAGAAAGCGGAGCACTTGGAACTGACCCCGTGGCTCTGGCCACATTCCCCGCCACTGTTCACGGCATGGTCTCCCACAAGACCGTGAGGATGAAGACCAGGCCTGCCTCCCCTGTAACCGCCAGGGCCTCAGTAGAGTCTGGCCCAGAGAGAAGGCTCTGGGACGGGTGCTGCACAAAGGACAGAATGAACTGGCAGCATGTTGGTTGCTTGACTGGTAGGTCTAGGCCCCCTTTGTCACTCCTGCAGAGTTTGTCCTCAAATAAATGGCTGGACACCTGAGGTCGTGCTGCTTCTGCAAACAGATGAGGATCGAACTGACTTCCAAGGGGAGTGGCCACTACACTTGCCTCTAGCTTTTCCCCACTTTATTTTCTACTCATTGAGATCCTGCCCAGCTGGCAAGGTGCCCCCCAAGGCCCCCCTTGCATGAAGCTCCGTGTGAACTCCCAGTCCACACAGTCTTCCTTCTTCTCTGTTCTCTGCCCTTTACTAGCTGAGGACCTCAGTGAGTCATTTCACCTCCCCAGGCCTCGAACTTCTCTGCTGTAAAATGGGACAATAAAGCTACACACCTCGCCAAGTTGATATGAGGATTAAGTGCGGTCAGTTCAGTGCTCCCTGTCATACTGTTTCATGTAGGTTAGCTCTGACTTTTCCTCCCAGCACTTAGCATGGGGCTGATCCCACGGGGCTGACTCATTCAATATCCACCAAGTAACTTACATCTGTTTTCCTTTGATTCTGGATTTTGATGACAAGGAAACTGCACCCATTTCCTTTTTGCACCCCTTGTCCCCGCCACACACACACACCTGCACTAGCTCAGGCTCCACACACAGCAGCTCTCAGTGATGCTGACAGTGAGACCATCGGAAAGAATGTCAGAGGTAACCTTGTCTGCCTGACAGTCTGACTGCCTGGCACCGGACGACAGACTGGAAGCCCAGCGGGCAGCATCAGGATGGCCTCCATCAGGAAACGTGACTCAAGGGCTCCTTTGTGGCGCCAGGACCCCATGGCTGGTGCCAGGGGTGAGAATAAAAGATGTCCCCTTATCTCATGCCTAATGACCTGTGTCCTGATGCCTGGTGACAGAGTAGAAGGCAGGAAGTCCGGGAGGAGATAAATGAAAACACACTCAAAGCATACACCTGTAGCCGGGAGGTACCTCCACCCTACCACCCGTCTCCCCGCTCCACTGACCAAATCGAAGAAACCCATCCCAGGAAGGGCGAGCACTGAGCAAACAGCACTTGGCTTTCCAAGCTCTCCTGAAGGACTCTTCCCTTTCCCTCCCCAGTGCTTCTTCCAGGTTATCAGCCTGGGCTGCTCTGTTTATCCTATAGGTCATGGAGTCCTGGACAGGTAGGGGGCCTTGGGCAGACCCCTTCTTGGCTCCAGAGCCCCTCACTCCTTCCAGAATCATCTCAGCTCTTGACAACATAGAGTCTCCTTCTCTCAGGTCCTCCGGCCCCAGGCCCTGCACAAAGCCCTGGCTTGTCTTCTGAGGGCCCTATGGGACCAAGAACACCTACTAGCTAGGAATCCGTGGGTTAACTCGGAACCTAGGCATCGTATGATGTTGTTTACATAGGAAAACACACTTCAGGTTGCAGTTTGGAATGCAGAAAATGACCATACATCTTCCAGAAGCAAAGTAGCTGCCACCTGCCCCCATCTATATGACCCAAGGTTGTCCCTACTTTGCTGCCAAGAATTTTAGGGACCCGGTGCCGTAGTTTCCTTGATGCTTCCCTTCCCACTTCCCTTTCCCACCTCAGCAGCTATTCTCCCTGATGTGACGCCTGGGAGCCAGGCGTCTGTAACTCAGTGGGCCACACACCGTGTGGAGTTACCGTTAAGAGGTTGAACCCAGGGGCAGGCAGAACAGGTGGAGAAAAGGGTGAAGAGAGCCTGGGTCTGCAGACGCTGATTTCTGAGCTCCCCAGATGGTGCTTCCCAATTTCTCCTGTCCTACAGAGTGCTCAGCCTGAGGGTCAGAGGCCACAGGTAAAGGGATGAGACCAGCACACTGGAACGTCTTGGCAAGGAATCCAGGAAGCAGTGGCTGCCTGCCACGCTCACAGCTCCAGTCTGAGAAAATCAGATCTTAGCAGGACTTTCCACAGGAAGATACCATGGCTGGCACTGTGGATGGTGGGTGGCCTGGCCACTGCTGACTGGATCAGGGTCCCTGCCTGAGGCACAGGACACCAGGGTCTGGCTGAACATAGGGAGGCAGGACACCGGGGTGCTCAGTGCAAGCTCTGCCCTGTGAGAGCCATGCTGTTAGCCTCAGAGAACGACCTCAGGAAGATGCCCCCTCTAGGCCTCAACTTCCCGTCTATGAAATGGTTCTCCCACTTACAGAAAACGTTTTCCATTTACCTCCTTTGCCACGCTCTGTGTAATTTTCACAGATTTACCTTTTAATTCGCAAATTCTCTCTTCAGCTACGTTATTTTTTTTAACCTGTACACTGAGTTGTTTTTTGTTTCCATTCTGTTTTTCTCTATGGGGACTTCCTTTTGGCCTTTCCTACCATAATGGCTCTTAAACTGGACAGGTCAGGCAACCATTGTGAAGTCTGCCAGCTGCTAAATATCGATATCCCAATTATGCACTTAGGCAATAACCACCACTGAGTGGGTCCAGGGAGCCGCTAGACCAACTGAGAGATAACCTTGAGCCAGGATTCTATCACTCACCAGAACGCACACGCCCTGACTCTGACCTGGGGACTATGACCCATCGAATTAATTTCAATAACTAAAATTTTAATTTCTAGGATTTCTTTTGGCATTCTTTCCCCTTGATTCTTTCCTGTTTTTCCTCGTAGGTCTTACACCTTCTTTAAATCTTTAATTATTTTACATGCACTTATTTTATTATCTGTTTCAGATTATTCTATTAGCTTCAGGTACTGAGGGAGTAATTCTCCTATTTTTTGCACTTGCCGACTCACTCTGATGGTGTATTTTTCTCTGGTGGATTTTTCTTTCTTTATTATTTGCTCTTTGTTCAACAGGAATGTTTGCCACAGGAGCCCCATGTTCTCTGGAAAGTGGTTTTATTATGTGTGTCTGCTGGGACCCTACGAATTTTACCAGTTTGTGTCTCCCCACCTCTCTATTTTTTGGGTTCGGGGTTCCCAAATCATTTGGCGAATGTAAATTCAGTTAGTGTAGATATGCCCGTGAGGACCTCACACGTGAACTCCTGTTGTTTAAATAAAATGTTTCTCCTTCTCAGGGCCCCAGATAAATGGAAGCTCCCATGTATCTTCCCCAGGGAAGTGGCAGCTCAGTCTGACTCATTGAAAAGGAGCCCTTGCGCTTGGAAGAATCCAAAACTGTTGTTGTTTATTCGTTTACCGCTGCCTCTCAATAACATATCAGGTCAATAGCATATCAAAGATTCATCTCTTGTTCTCATCACTGTATCTTGAGGGCCAGCACAGTGCCCCACCCATGGCAGGCTCTTAATATGTAAAGAACATTGTGATTTCTGGGGAGCTCTCTGCTACATGAGACAGTTTGAGGTTCACCTGGATTGGATGATCCCAAGCCTCCAGCATCTGCTACCACCCCTCTCCCCAAAGCCCTGATACCTTATCCTAATACAAAGGCAGCAGCACGCAAGGCTGGCTGTTTGGGGCAGACTCACTGGAGATGGAGGTGTAGATGGCAAAGGCTCTGAGGCTGGTCATCTCCTTCCTGCGGGTCATCTCCACCCGTGTGCAGAAGATGTTCTCCCAGGCGTATAGCTTGAGCAGCTTGATGCCACGGAGCATCTCGTTGGTCTGCTTCAGCCTCTCGTTGGAATACTCCTGCCAGGGATCACCGAGTCAGAGAAGGGTTTCCTCTACCCCCATCCCACCCAAGAGCAAGGAGCCGAGTCTATGTCCTCACCATTTCACAAACGCCCAGCTCCTGTCCCCACAGGGGGGCTCCCTGCCTTCTCCACTAATCCCATTTCACAGGCAAAGAAACTGAGGCCTAGACAGGTGAAGTGACCTGCTTAAGGTCAATGATAGTGTGGATATGTGGGGGGTAGCTGTTTGGTGGCCTCAGGGGGAAGAGTGAGGAGACCCACTGATGAGAGGGGAGAGGGAGCAGGCAGACACATGGGGGAAAGGTGGGGAAAAGGGCCGGTGCACACCTGGGGACACTCACCAGGGTGCTCCGCTGGGCCTGAGAGAGCTTGGTGGCCACGAAGTACTGGACAGGGGCCAGCAGGATGATGACAGCTGCCCCGATTAAAGCGCTGACTCCGAGGATGTAGTAAAGGAGAATCACACCCACGATGATCTGAGGGAGGGTCGTGGGGGTGAGTTCCCTTTGACCTGGTGGCGGCCTGCCACGGGGTGTTGACACGCCCCCCTCCCCCTTTTCCTCAGTCCCCTGAAGTGGGACAGGCCTTGGTGCCCAGGTTTCCAAATTGTCTTGGGGAGCAGAGGAGGAGAGGTGACAAAGCAATTACAGAAGGAGGAATTACCATGATGAGCACAGAGAGTTTCTGGGCCAACAACTAACTGCATTTATCTGCACGCCTGGCGGAAGCGTTAGCTCTCCCCAGGTCCACTTTCCAGATGGAAGTCTCAGAGCTGAGACTGCATAATGGGTGTGACAGCACCTTTCGTTCTGTTTGCTGGTTATCAAGGCTGACATTTCACTCTCATCGGGAAAAAGTGAAACACGAGCAAAGGGGCAAAATTGCTACCTCCATGTCAGACAAAACCAGTCCCGGATCTGAGAGTTTACTTTTCATTCTTATGCTCCTGGTGTCTTTAATTTTTCAGGGAATCTGGAAGATAGTCTCTGAAAAGAGAATTCATTCTGCATCTAGCTTCTAGCTTGACTGCCTGCTTCTGAATATTTATGAGAAATATAAGTTACTCTTGCCAGCCCCCAAAGCATCAAGATGACAGTTTCCCAGATCGCCTTCAAAAGCACCTACCTCTAAATTCAGGACTAATTCTAGAAGAACAGATAAGCTGTCTTCTTTAATTGAAAAAAAAAAAAAGTCTGCTTGAGTTGGCCCTGTACCCCTTGAGCCCTATATTAGATTGGCACCAAGCTCCTTGTACCACCTGATCACCTGAAGGACAGAGGAGTGGGCGGGTGGCTCTGAAATTTCCATTAATTAGACAATGCCTTGGGCATTAGTAGGTTCTTAGAGGCTGGTACCTGACCCCTTCACCACTTGCCTCCACCAGTGTTTAACTGATGTTAAATGCTGGCACAGATGGGCAGAGGCGCACATTAGGGGGTAAAGAGCCCTCCTTCTCCTGCTGGGCCCCACTGTCATCATCCTCCAGGAAAAATTATCCCTTCCATTAGCTGTCCTCATATGGAAGCAATCTGTTGTTCGGCAGCTTGGGTAGAACTGGACACCAAGGGGTGCCCGGAGCACTTCCAGAGTCACTACCAGGGCACCGACTGGGGGTCGATGCCTGGATCCCCACCACCTCCAGGCACTGACAGCTGCTGTGACAGGAGCTGGGGACGCAGCATGTGCTGCTGCCAAGGCTCCTCCTCAGATCCCACCGTCCCCACCTTGTGCTCCCCAGATTCTCCTGTCCGCCCCTCTCTGCTGCAGGGGTCTGAATGGACCCCACAGGAGAACACACCAGAAATCAGGGATTCTGAGTGTGCAAAACAAGTGTGGGGAATAAAAGAGCTCTTTTATCTTCTATTCATTCACAGGTTAAGAAAGCGATCTAGTGCAGTAGTGGGGAGATCACAGTCCCTGGAGTCTGCAGCCCTGAGTCTGAATGCAGTCCCAGCTCTTACTGGTTATGCATTCTGGCACGATCTACTTAATCAGAGTCTCAGCTTCTTCATCTTTAAAATGGTGCATTTAATGCCCTTTTAGCAGGACTGCTGAGAAGATTAAACGAACTTATACGATAAGCACCTAGAACAGTACCTGGCACACAGTTGGAGATCAATACAGGGTGGCCTATCCTCTCTAAAAACAAATAAAAAACAAATCAACCAGCAAACAAGCAGGCTTCCCTGTCACTAGGGAACCACAAAAGGAGATATCTGGGCATGGTGCTGCCGCCAGAAAGGATAAAAGGTAGCGCCCCTGCCCTCTCTGGGCCTCTGATGCCCGTGGTGTGAGGAATCACACCAAAGGTCTTTGCTATGGTTGAGTTCCTTAACATAGCATCCATAAGCTTCAGGGGCCCAAAAAAACCCTGAAATTGTAGGCCAAATATATGAATGTACATTTGTTTTCCTAAGGAGGTTTGATTAGATTTCCAAAAGTATATATAGATCAGCGGTTGCCTAGGGCTGGAGGAGGAGATGAGAGGTGACTGACAATGGGTGTGGGTTTCTTTTAGGGGTGCCAAAAATGTTCTAAAATTGTGATGATGCACAATTCTGAGTATGCTAACGCTTATTAAAGTTGTACCCTTTAAATGAGTGAATTATATCTCAATAATGCTGTTATTTTTTTTTAAGTATATAAGACCAAAAAAAAGATTACAAACCAGGGAGAGTCCTCAGGGGTCAAAGGACTGGGGCTTCTGAGCTAGTTTCAATATTATCGAAAGCCTCATGTGTCCAATGGCCAACCAAGCTGCACACGGAATCCTGCCCAGGTTGAAGGCATTGTATCAACTCTGGGTGGTAACACTGGATCTTGAGGGCTGATCAAAGCTACAAGTGGCAAAAGTATAGTCTTTGAGGAATTAAAATTGAAAAACCAAATAACACTTCATGATAAATAAGCAAAAGTAAGTAATTAGTGGAGATAAAAAATTTCTCCCCCACTTCCTACCATGGCTGTGAGGGTTAATTATGCAGGTGAAAGAGGCTGGGGCAGTAGGGCCAGCACAGGGAAGGGGTTATTTACTAGTTAGTATTATTAGCAATGGTGTATGTATCACAAACATTATAAATAATAGTAATGACAACAACGCAGCCAGTTTGGTGGACAACACCTTTGAAACAGGTTGTTCAAGGGGACATAACAGAAAGGATAAAAGGCTGTCGACTGCATTCGATGTGCTTTCCAGACCCTTCTATAGCTTTTGCAGTCACTGATCCCTCTTGGCAGAGTGGAGGGGATGCAGGGGTCGGTGTGGCTAAGTGGTAATGGAGGATGGCACAGAGGGGTGTTCTTGTAAAAAGGACCACCAGATTCTCTGCCCTACTTGTCTTTTGTTTAGTTGCCCTCCCTGTGTGAGCCTCTTCTCCTATTTTCTTTTAATGTCTTTTAAATAAACACTTTACAGGTAAGGAGGACCAAAAAAAAAATCATTTGAGAATAAGGTTTATGAAAGGTACATTCCGAGAAGTAAGCAGTGAATTCTGAACAGTAAAGTCCTCTCACCAGAGTGTGTAAGTGAGAGGGACCTGATATTTACTTAGTGACTACTCTGTGCCAGGTACTCTGCTTGGTGCTTTAATTACATCATCTAATTGAATCATTATAGCACCTCCAGAGGGTGGGAATCACCCCTATTTCATAGATGAGGAAACTGAGGCTCAAAGAGGTTATTTGAACTAGCCTGTCTCACCTAGATCCAGACATTTTCCTTTATACCGGACAGGCGCCTGCGGGCCCTCTGGGAATAGGTCTTGCCACTTCTGGCCTGAGCACCCAAGTGAAGAATTCCTTCCCAGCTTCAGGGTGGGAATCATAGACTCCCTGGTGGAGGATGGGAGTCAGGGCAGAAGAGGCCAGGGGTCAGGTAAACCATGGATAGTGGGATTCTCCTCTGTCGTCAGTGGAGAAAGCACCTCCTTCAGAGCCAGCCCCAAAGGTCGTTTGGTTTTTGATTTTCAAAAACAATACATGCTTATTGGAGAATTTAGAAACGCATAAAGAAAACAAAAATCACCTGCAATCCCACCATAGGACCTTCCAGTTCTTTTTACTGTGTGCATCTGTGCAAACATATACATATGGATATTCCAATTTAGTAGGAAGTGCACCGCATGTACAATTTTGTAATTAACTCTTTTTGCTTAAAAATATATCAGAACACTTTTCAATGTAATTAAGCACTTTGTTACAACATAACTTTTAACGTCTGCAAAAGTGTTCCACATATGATTATTCTACAGTTTTTTGGGTTTTTTTTTTAAGCTTTAAGCTGCATTTTAAAAGTCTTAATGGCACTGCCTTCTCTGATCATGAAGAGAGGTAACTAGATGCTTGCAGAGTGTGAGACAGTATAGGGACCCAGGAATATACCCCATGGAGACCCTGGGAGGGTGGAAGGTACAGACAGACATGGAATGGAAGATGGTAAACTCCTAGTCACTGAGCATATACCAGCAGATTCTGGTTTTGTGTCCTCTTTTGCACTCCCTACCAAGGTACACATCCCTTACCTGTACTGGCATAGCCCAGAGGTTTGGGCACAAGAAGAAAAACCACATGAGTTGGTTGGTGTCGATGGCAACCAGGTTACAGATCTGCCCAGCAGTCATTTCCCCCATGGATAGGTTGGAGGTGGACAGGTGCATAATTTTATTGTAAATCTTGGTCTAGAAATGAGAGCAGAGAGCTTCACATTCGTCATCATTATCATTCTAATCATCACCCCAGATGCCACAAGTCTCTAATGTGCCAGGGGCTTCTCAGACATTCCTTCTATGGAGCATAAAACGGCTTGGTAAGGGGCCCTGTATTATTGTTCCAATTTTACAAATGAGGAAACTAAGGTTTGGAGAGGTAAAGGGCTTTGATGACAGATCAAGCAAGTCAGAGAATCCACGCCAGCACGGCAAGCTACTTCCCTAGCAAGCAAGAACTCTCCCTTGGGGGGTAGCATTAAATTAGCTCTTAAATCTTAAAAACAGATCTTCATGCCCAGTTGTATTCTTGATTTACCAGAAGCTGGTGGGGAACACACTTCAGAGTCATAAAAATGACGAAGTGGGGCAGTGTCTATTTTAATGCGTCCATCTCCAGCTGGCGAGGAGATATGCTCTGAAGCCAAGTTCTGTTTTAACTGAATCTCGAAACAAAACAAGGGCTCAGATTGGTGTGAGAGATGGTGTACGAGGGTAGATCAGCCCTGGCATCGTCCCAGAGTCTAGCCACTCTGAGGACCTTGCCCTGTCTCCCTGGGGTGGATGGGAACACCCATGGTAATGGTTTTCTGTGAGCTCTCAACCTAAAAGCTTTATGTGCAGGGTGATTGTGACTCCCAGAAGGATGGCAATTTTCAGGCTATGCACACTTGAAAGAAGAAAAATGCGTTCTTGTCTTACATGTCCTAGGGATGCCTGCTTTCAAATGAAATTCTATCACACATTTTGCTATAAGGTGGATTCCCAGCCCTTTATTCATCTTTTTGCAAACCCAGGCTTTTTTGTAGGTCAGATTATGCTTTAAGCATATGTCTTTTTGTGACTTTATATAAACCACGGGTAAGGCTTAAAATAATGGCGATAACATTTTTAGACAAATCTATGCACATCCTAGGTTATGTGAAATTGGTCTTCAAAGAATAATAATAAGCATAGTTCAGTGAAGTAGGAACACAGATTAATCTATCAAAGAAAGCATTATTGAGACCAGGATGCACAGAAATACACAAGCAACTGATAGCTAGTATGTCAAAAAATTATGTATAACACAGGAATTTTGCTTAATAACTTTTCATGAGAGAAATGTGATTATCCTCAAACTCATGAAGACACAGACCGTTATCTATAATTTTCTGTAAATTTCTGAAAGTTTTCTAATTTGTTTCCATAATTATTGCTAGTATTCCTTTTATGGCATATGAGTCAATCCCTTTTATTAATGCGAAAGATTCAGTTTGATAAAAACAATTACATGCTAATACATTAAAAAACCATTTATTTTTGGCTCTTTCAGTGTAATTGGAAAATACTGGGCCAGAGTGTGAGTTATGACATACAGATAAAAAGTAGATTTAATTACAAAACTGTTTGACTACAAAATTGGCTGTTTGTGGCAGCGCATGCCTGCCTGTCACTAGAGGGGTCTGAGCAGAGGATGGGATTTTCAGAGAGGTTTTCTGAATTGGGCAATAGCTTAGTTCCTTGTAGCTCTGAGCCCCTATAAGTCTCAGAGAGTTTTGGAGTTTCCTGGGCTCTTTCCACCATTCTCACCTGATGACATTCCTGAGGAAATGGCTCTGCGTTCTCAATGAAAAACCACTGGAGATGGCAGTGTTGTCATGTGCAGCTGCATAGGTTGTGCACTATACATTTTCAGGGGGCACCATACACATGGACTACACTGAGACAATTAGAGTATGGACCCTGACACTGTCTTCAAGCCCATGCTATACCCTTCTCCTCTAGGTCCCTTTTTCTCAAAGCCTCTGATCCTGGCTCCCCACGGGCCAGTCGGTGTTAATGATTCCCAGGAACATTTCTAAAGAATGAGGTGGCTTTGGGATTTAGCCACAACTTCCTAGTGTTTTACTGACTTCACGGGAATTGTCGGATATGGCAGAATCTGTAGTTGTCCCCCAATATCCAATCTCTCCTTTTCACAAGAAGAATTTCTTGCAGGGCATATATGGCTGTCAAGAATAAAGACTACACTTTTTAGCCTCTCCAGGTATGGCCATGTGGGAAATTTCTTGCTAATGGGATGGGAGAGAACATGTGCAACTTCTGCACTATGATTTTAGAAGAAGGCAGTATTCTCTCCTATTGTCCCATCTTTCTCCTTGCTGGTTCAAATGTAGACACAACAGTGGCAATTTCAATTGTCATCTTAAACTGTAAGATAAAAGTAATTGTGAAAAGTCTGGCAGAGCAATATTACAGGAAGAACCAAGTGTCTGACAATTGTGTAGCTGCCATACCGGCCCTGTGAAAAACAAACTTCTATCCTATGTAAACCACTGTGGACATTCCCTCCATTCCAATAAAAACACTGGGGATTAGACGATTCTCATCACCACCTTGCCTAAAGGGGTCCTGAATCCTCTCTGACTTTGATCATCCTTCTAATTGACTCTGAGAAGAAAGGAGCCCACAGAAAGCAGGAGCAAGAAGCTAGGCCCAAGGGACCTATCAAACTAGATAAGTCTCTCTCATGATGACCCAAGATTTAAGATCTCCAGTATATCTTAGAGGCTCTCTGGTCATGGCATGTCAAACACGTTTCCTGTTTTGCACCCAAAAAAGGCTGTCTGTTGCCAAATTCTGGAATAGAATCTAGAGAAAGATGCTGAGGCTGCATCTGCAGTTAGCAGAAAAGCGTGCTATGATAGATTAGTGATGTCTGTCCCATTCAAGGCTGGAAAATGTGAAGGCACAAGGGCTGAGCAGTTGACATCTGGGGTCTAGTTCAAGGTAGAACCAGGGCTAGAACTACTACATTTCCCAAGTTCAGCTCAAGGCACTTTCCATGATCCCACACTACCTTATCAATGGTCATTGTTTCAAAAACACCGTTAAAGAGCCACACACACACACACACACACACAAAATAAATTCACAGCAGAATTATTCCTGAGTGTCCACAAGGATAAGTGATGTTGTTCTTACTATGAAGTGAGAAAATAATCAGCCGAGTACCTGTATCGCTCCTCTTAAGTTAATTCCGGTTTCAATGGCGACATAGTAGGATGCTTGCAGAAATGTCCTTTGCAGTAGGAGGGCAAGGAACAGAAGCACGGCTAAGACGTAGGCATTAGCAAGGAACTCTTGGGACGAGACAAAATAAACCCCGAGAAATTGTGTCTGTTGGAAAGAGAAGTTCAGAGGTGGCTGTCATTGCCAGCAAAAAGACTGCCATTAGTACCTGTTACTGTGCCGTAATGGCCATTATTATAGGGTCCTCCATGCTTGCAAAGTCTATGCAATTGTTTATGACGGGAAAATCAGATTGATAAGTCCACTTAAACATTCTTCTAATTACAGGGAGGGCTGCCTATACTCTTCATCATCCCACTTAGGGGAACAGAATGCAGCCCAGTTCTAACTTCATGTCCATAAATATGATTCACAGTGTTGTGGCCACCAGGCCCAGGGGAGCTCACTCCCCTGAAATAAGAATAAATAGAGCGAATCACAGCAGTCAAAACCAGAACTGCTAGAACAAATCTCATGATGTGTATTCTCTGCTCCAAAACCGAATCAGCTGAGCTCTTATCCTAGCCAGCTCTGTAGTAATTTCTGGGCAGAAAAGATCAGTGGAAAACATGACAGCGTAGTGGTCCCAGGCAAAAGATGGGAACTCATCTCTCGCCTATAATAGAATGAAAAGGTTTCAGACCCAAGCTCCCCAGCCTTGTAGGCTCCCAGGACCTCATTTTAAATTTAAGGTTCTCTTGCTGCACCTCTAGCAAGATCTCAGATGATAAGCAGTGGAAAAAAACAAACGTTTTGACTTTGTTGCTAAAGACACCAGGGAACAGCAGCATGTCTGTTTCCAAATTCAGCATCAAGAACTCCCAGGGAAATTTTGATCTTGATGAAGTTCATTGCTCCTCAGCAGAACCACATCAATATTTCCACGAAGACAGAACTCTCCCCTTTCTGAGACTCTGCCCTGAGCTCTGCAAGCTATTTGTAAGGGTGTGGGAGCTGCCGCAGGGTAAAGAGTGGTGGGAACAAAGTGATGAGAAGGAGCCGAGGGCATGTGCATGACCACAGTCAGGCAGAAAGGGGCAGGACTCTGAGTGGAGGCCTTTTCTTAGAGTCAGAAATTCCTTGATCCTAGATACCGGGTTTCCTGATGGTAGAAAAGATCTTGCCTCTCAGTTCAACAGAGCCCTCTAAATCAGCCCTCACTGCCCTGTGGCGCTGGTCATGTTTACAGTTATCTTTCCCTTGCTCTGTGGGATGGGCGTCTCTCTCTTTTGGGGACAGCAGAAAGCAGACACAGGAAGACCACTGAGGGATACACGTGGGACTCTTAGTGGAAGGCTGACTGAAGCCTGAAGCCCCTGACTCTCTTTCTCATTTGTCAAAGTACCAGAGGGAGAAGGTAAAGGGTAGAGGGTAGGGGTGGGCTAGAAGCAGCAAAATGGACCTTAAAATGAGGCTGCAGGGTGGGAGGGGGCGGAACCTGACTCTACAGGGAAGCAAGAGGTGGGACACAATATTTACCAAATGCAGAACTCCATCTTCACAAAACTCTAATTAGAAGGGTACCATTATTAGCCCAATATTATACATGAGGAAATGGAGTTTCAGCACCATTAAGTGGCTGGCCCAAGTCACATGCTGGTAAGGGAGAACATGAACCCGTGTGATGCCAAAAACACTATCCCAGATCCACTGCCTAGGCTTCATCTAGCTATTTGACCTTGAGTCTCTTCTTGTTAGCTACAAGCTTGTGACCTTTGTGGGAGAAAAACATGCTCCCCTGGCTGGTTCTGTGTCAAAAATGAAGGGATGTGCGCTTGGGAAAACCTGGTCTTGTTTAATACACTTTGGAATTCTTCTGTTCTACTGTTCTCTGCAGAGACCCAGCTCTGGAGAATGGAATCCATTATTTTAAAGCAACAAAGTACATCATGTGACTTCACTCGAAAGGGAATAATTTAACATAAGGAAATGGCTGTATGTGCAAAGATGTTCTGTCTCTGGATTAGAGCAGGGGGAGAGTATAAAAATCCATGTAAATGCCCAACTATAGGGAATGGTCAGATATATGATGATACTCATGGGAACGCTATGCACCTAAGAACACTGATTATCATGAAAGCTCTTGAGCAGCATGGAATGCCACACGTATGCTATGTCACAATGATCAGATAACACATAGGCTGGAGAATGAGGGCTAGAGAAATCAATGGATCATAAATATTGGTTAGGCTATGGGTGGTATTTGTTAAATGCACTCATCAATATTTGTAAATTTTAAACAAGGCAACGATTTTTAACAAGCTGCCTTTTTTGCAGCTCTAAAGGCAAAGCCTTGACCCCTTACACGTGCAACATACACACCCTAGGTTCAGAAACTATATTTCTTTGGATCAAGAATTTTGTTAACTGTTAAAATAAAAAATCTTCCTGCAGGTACAAGTCATTAGGTCATTATTTCATCTCTCTTCAAAGAGAGAGCTTAAAAAAGATGGAGTCTAGAACAGTTAAGTTTTGATTAAGGAGTGGGACTAGATTAGCGAAAAGGCCCAGGATGCTGCCCAAGGGTGGCAGGCCCTGGTGAAGTGTAGAAAGGAGGGAGCCCTGGGAAGCTGTGAATGGGTGTGAGGGCACTGGCCACTGCCTCTGAGGGCATCATGGCAGGAGAGAGAAGGCCGAGGACCAGCAACTTGACATTTGGTGGAAGGTAAATGCTTTGGAAGATCAGATGTCCTAGTCTCACATTTTCCTAAGTGCTCAGAGAAGAGATTGTGTTTGTTTCCAGGGATTGCCCTGGTAGTGCTCAATGAATATTTTTAAATTAATCAATGTGTATGATCTTCGTTCCCTATCTACTCTCCATAGGAGTTATTACACATTTCCCCATTTTGTACTTGAGCCGACCGAGGCCTGCAGAAGAGCATAAAGACAATTGACTGCAGAGCTAGGAGTAGAACTAGGACATAGGCTCTTGATTCTACAATTCTGCCCTCTATTGCCCCTGCCTGGCCAGAGGTATGACTGGAAAGGCCCCCTTCCCTTGTTCTCTAGAGCTTAAAGGAGAGGTGGTCATTTGCATTCTTGCTTTCAATTTTGGCAGGGGCCAAAAGGTGAACCACCCATAGGTCCCGGCCCTGGGAGGCTGTGGGTAAAAACAGTGAGAACTATCTTTGACCACTCATGGACGAACGCACCCATCCATCTGTCCACAACCATTTGACATGGTGGTTTAGAGCCTAGATTTTGAGACATCTCTATCTCAGTTAGAACTCTAACTCATTATATATTAGCCATTGTGTCCTTAGGTAAATTCCTCAACTTCTCTGAGCCTCCGTTTCCTCACCTGTAAAATGAGGCCATTAAAGTTTTCTAAGAGAGTTGTTGTGAGGATTTAATGCAAGTTAAAAAATTTAGTAAGCGTAAGCACTCAGTAAAAGATAACTTCTGCATTATTGAAGAATCCTTTCTCCTGTGCATCCTGGGTGTCAGCCTGGGCACGTAGAAGTCAGGCTATGCAGTTCCTTTCTTGGGGGGCTCAGGGTCTAGTCAAGGAAGGAGACAAGGTGTGCTTTGATGGGGCAAGCATTAGATGCTTTAGAGGAGGGGCATCTAATTCAATCAGAGGAAGGCTTCCTAGAGGAGGTGACATTTGAGCTGAGTCTTGGTGGCTGAGAAGGAGTTAGTGAGGTAAAGGAAGGCATGCCAGACCAGAGAAGTTGCCTGGGCCTTGTCATGAAGAGACTAACCCACACACTGACATCACAAAGCCACAGAAATGCATACAAGTTCACAAAGTCACTCATAGTGATACCCACAAATAAGGGCACTCAAGTGGGGACACAGATGCACATGGCAAAAGACAAACCAAGAGACACAATTCAATCAGAGGAAGGCTTCCTAGAGGAGGTGACATTTGAGCTGAGTCTTGGTGGCTGAGAAGGAGTTAGTGAGGTAAAGGAAGGCATGCCAGACCAGTTCACAAAGTCACCCATAGTGATACCCACAAATAAGGACACCCAAGTGGGGACACAGATGCACATGGAAAAAGACAAACCAAGAGACACAGGGACAAACAGAAGGACACACATATAGAATCATACGCAGTTCCCAAACACATACACACTCACAAACCTACACATGTTTTTCCCACTGAGATTTAGAGACCATTCAAAGCTTTGGCCCTAGATCATATCCAGACTGTTTCTTCTTTCTCTGCTCAGCTGACAGCCTAGAGAAGTGCTGGCAGGTTTCAGACACCAGCAGTTCTTTATGAATCCAATTCCCTCACCCTCTACCCAGATAAGTGGCATCTATAGCAGGTGACAGATTGTGGGTGGGGGTTGGGTGGGATAGAAGGCTGGAAAGAGATACATCATGAGCCATGCCCAGCCTGAATCCCAGCTTTTCCTGGGGAGTGGCAGGGGAAACAAGAGGGTCAAAGATTTGGCAGGCCATAAGACACTTCCAGTAATTAAAGAAGAAATAAAAGATGTTTGTCCTTATAATTGCCAAGGGCGGTGTGATTCTTGCTAACTGTGAGTGCCATGGAAAGGGAAGAGAGGACAGGGCAGCCACCGGTAATGAAATAAACAGTGGTGCCCGACTGCAGACTGAAGCAGGGTGGATACAGGCTGAGCAGAAAGAAGGGCTTTCTCACCGAGAGGGTTGTCAAAACACCATAACATGCAGCTAGACGGTTTCTCTGTCGGTTCGTAAAGACCAGAATAGCTCCTGTCTCTCTAGGTTAAATTTGCTGGGAGGTAGAGGAATGAACCAAATGATCTCAATAAATAACCTCTTTCCCCCATTTTCTGGGCCTAGAAGACCAAATGAGAATTAAGTCCTATCCCAGGCAACCCCATGATTGCAGATTCTTCGTTGCTGACATTAGACGCCATATTTACTTTCAACTCTCATTTCTATGTCTGTAATTTGCTGATTGTATTTGGGCCACAGGGAACAAATACTAAATCTGATAAGGCCTGCTGCCACTGAGGCAAAGCCATCTGTCTCGGGGATTTATGTGCTGACAAGTAACTGGGACAAGAGCATTCCAATGAGAGGGCAGTAAAGCCCAGGGTTAGTGTATAAATAAAGAGAAAAGAGAGAGCAAAGCTAATGTTCCGATGAACTAATATTCTAAGGGCAGTTCTCACCATCTCTTTGGTGCATCCTGCCTGAGAGCTGTCTCCTTGGGAGAATCCCACAAGAGTTTTTGGGAAACACAGGAAGAAGATGATGTGGACAAGCAGATAAGGGCTCTGGCCTCCATCACTTCTTCCTAATAGTAACAACTGGATCCACGAAGCTGTGATATTATCAATGTGGAGTGTTCTAGGGTTGCTTATGGTCAGACTTAAGCTAAAAGGTGAAACTCCTGTGAAAAAGGGAGGAGTCTTTTCCCCTCTCTTTTTGGGCCAAGCAAAGTTCAGAGTCTCACAAGCCAGAGAAGTCTAAATAAACAAAAGCAGTTCTCACGTTCTTGGTTGAACAAGAAATCTGCTCATTTTAGCCTGGTCAACTCCTATTCATCTGTCAAGGCCCCATTCAAATACCTCCCTCCTCTATGAAGTTGTCATGACCACTGGCTGAGTTAGTCACTCTCCTCATAGTTCCCCATATATACCTCCTAAGGGTAGTATTTAACATACAGTATAAAAAGATTTTATTTAGATTTCTCTCTCCTCCATTGGATTTCACAATCTTTGGAGCCAGAGATGATAGCTTGATAATAACAGTCAATTTAGCATCATGATTGCAAGTGCCCAGACTATGGAATGAAAGAAACTTAGGTTTAAATCCTGACTTTATCACTAACTAGCTGAGAGAATTTATAGAAAGTTACTTAACTTCTCTGAGCTTCAAATTCCACATTTGTAAAATGGACATAAAAATACCTCATAAGTTGTATGGTATGGGAATCATATCTTAATAAAGCTGTTACAAAACCAAAACTTACTCTAAAGGGTTGTTTTAAGGATTAAATGAGATAACACATGGATAACTCCTGCACACAGCTAGGCATGAATTAAGCAGTCAATAAGGGGTTATTATTGTTAATAGTCCTCACCATAACCATTGCCTCTGTATTTCCACAGCTTGACCCAGGTCTGGCACATAGTAGGGTTCAATAAATGTTTGCTAAATAAATCAAACAGGCTTGGGATGTCTCATATTCCTCACCGAAAGTGCTCAGCTGATTAATTATAGCTCAAGACAAAATTAATATAAACCTCCTGAGGATTACATACTATCTGCGATTTCGAAGCCCATGAGATGAATAACATTGCACAAGGGAGTGCCATAATTATTAAGATTTCTTATTAGTAATTCTCTGCATCATTTTGGGACTGTTTGTGGTTAAAAAGTTATAATGATGCTCTTGCTGAGAAACTCTGAGTCTTATTAGAGATGAAAAGTTTTCCATTTTGTGACCATCTAAACCTAAGTGGCAGCAAAGAAACAGATGAAAGAATTAAGTACCCTGCCTCCCCCAACCCCGGAGGGGTGCTACTGCCCCAAACAGGGAAAATAAACCCCCAGAAAGATTTTCTGTTTCTTTTGTCTGAAAAATTTTAGTTTGTAGCATTTTTTGAGCTAGAAAGACCTGTGGGTATCATCTAGTCCAATGAGTTTCAAATATTTTTAAGACATGAAACTCTTTTTTAAAGACATTTTAATGGAAAGTCCAACATATTAATAAAACTGGGGCAGCTCTGAATGAATTTTGGAGTCGGGGGGAAAAAGCCCTATGCATGGAGCTTTCCCCATCCCCTCCCACCAACAGCAGCCTCCAAGATGCCCCTGCAGAATCTTAAGTACTATGCATTTAGAGAACTGAGGAAGACAGATCCCTGAAAAGGTATTTAGAGTCTATTAAAGTGACATGAACTAAAAGCCAACAAATCATAAAGGCTCTACACACTGGGGAAACAAATGCACTTCCTGCAACTTTCTCAATGACTAAATAACTGGGAGAAGTATTATGGTGGTAATGGTGTAATGAGGAGAGAAGGGCACCAGAAATCCTCCTGGGGCACGAGCTCAGCCCCTGGCATTTCTGTTGACCGGATGCAGAGCATTTTTTGGAGGGGGACATTGCCATGTGTGAGGAGCGGCCCCAGCGCAGTCACAGCTCACACATACTGGCCTCTGGCTCGTTCTCACCCACCGGTGAAAACCTTCAGAGAGTGCCTTCCTCTACCCCTGGTGACCTACCTTGGGCTGGAAGACTCGGTTCTCCTTCCCAAGATGGTCCACGATTCCAAAGATGCACAGGGGCCCTGCGAAGCCCAGCAGGTCAGCCAAGATCCGGAAAGTGCTGCTGAGGACCAGGCGTCTCCCAAAGGCGTGGCAGAGGGCCCGCCAGATGGCTCGGGCACTCTGAGGACTATGCGTGTCCTTCTGCTGCCCAGAGAGACCCACATCCAGGTCAGAATGGCTAAGACCCCAGTCACAGAAGGGCCCAAGATCCCAGGAAGCCCCAGGCTCCTGCTGCCTGGGGAAACCCAGTTGCCATGTCTGCTGTGAACTGGTAAACTCCAGGAAATATGGAACCACCAGGTTAGGTGGGCCCTTTCAATGTCAACATGATCCAGATAGGGAAACTGAGGCCAGAAGACTGATCAAGTCATTGAGCTACTCAGGGACCATGTGATGGGCATGGCACTCTAATGAGGGAGTGGCATATGCCACACGCATTGGTAACTGCCTGCTGCCACCACTGCCTCAGTGTTTCACCACTGTTCTGGGGCAGGGGCAGCAAAGGAGCACAGCACAGGAGTCAGATCGACTCTGCCACCCGCCGGCTGTGGGCGAGCTTTAGGGAAGTCAGGCCTTTCTCTGGGCCTCTGTTTTTTCCTCAGTGATATAGGGAGATCTTTGCCTGGCCCAACTCATAGAATTATTGTAAGAATCAGGTCACTAATGCCCGCGCTCTCGAAAATGGGTGAATATCTCCATCTTTCCAGTCATGGAGCTCCAGGGCATGGGCGAATCCAGTGAGGTCACTTCCCTTCTCAGGGCCTCAGTTTCCCCACCTGGACAATGAGGGTGTTCGAATAGATGACTTAGGGGCCACTCCAACTCTGACTGTCCTATGAATCTTTGGTCCTGAACTTGTCCCTGGTTCACTGTGTGACTTAGGGCCTCAGTTTCCCCATCTGTCCCACCAGAGGTTTGACCTGATGCTTTCTGAGGTCCCCATCTGTGACTCTACACCAGAGGGCAGGGAACGGACGGTGTGGCTGTGTCCCCACTGACCGCTTGGGCATCGAAGGCCGCGCGGAGCCGCTGGTAGTTGGTGAGGGCCCTCATGGCGATGGGCAGCTTCCCGATGGCTCGAAGATCAATGGGCTTCTTGTGGGCAGTCTTGATGAAGGCGTTCATCCACCAGTAGGTGCCTTTGGACAGCAGGTTCACAAAGGGCTGCAGGAAGCGAACCCCAAGGTCCTGCAGGTCTTCAGGGGGCTTCACCTCTCTCGGCGTCTTGAAGAAGATGTATCTCTGTGGGGCACACAGGCCACTGGGGATGTGTAAGTGCAACTGCTCACTCTTCTCCAGTTTACTCCAAGAAAAAGCTGGAGCGATGACATCCCATCCTGACCTCTAACAGATGGGGCCATCGTTCGCCTATTTCCAGGAAAAGGAATACCCAAACCACTTTGCCACCAACACCAGGGCCTCTTGATTTGTAAATCTTCATTGAGTCTGGCTCGGAATCCCTGGGCTGGGTTGGGCTGGGTTCAAGTTGGGTTGGGGAAGAGCAGGGATCTCCCATGTACCATCTTCTCCACAAATCTGAGGATATCACCATGCAGAGCCATGCAGACCAACCTCCTCCACTGACTAACAAGGTGTTTTTGGACAAATCTCATCTAGAATGTTTCTTCATTTAAAAAGGGGATGGTATTTGCATAAGAGGGTGGCTGTGAAGATGAGTTGAGTCAAGAAATATAGAAAACCTTTGTATCCTGCAAATCAACTAAAAGCAGAGGTAACAGAGAAATGCAAATTAAAGTAGCATTTCACACTTATCAGACTGGCCCAGATTAGAAATGGCTATAACCCCCACTGCTGGTAGAAAGAAGAAAAAGGGTTTTCTTATGCATTGCTGGTGGATTACAGTTTTTCTGGAAGGCAATCTGTAACATCAATTAAAATTTAAAATACACAGACTCTTTGAACCAGCAACTCCACTCCTTGGACTCTCTTCCATAGAAATAAAAGCAGCAATACATAAAGATATAAGTATGTTTGATATACTATTATTTGCAAAGGCAAAAACTTGGCAACGAAGTGAATAGGATAATGGCTGAATAAATTATGGCTCATCCACATGACGGAATATTATACAGCCATTAAGATAACTAAATTAGCCATACCAGACTTGGAGGGAGTCCTAAGAGATATCTGTTGGATGAGAAAAGCAAGATGCAGAAAAACATGTACATGATTCCATTTTTATGGAACAAATATTGAGAGAAAAAACTGCATACATATGTGTTGAGGAAAAAACCCTGAATAGATACAAGTGTATGATATTATAGTAATAGAAACAAAAAATGGAAGAACATATACTAGGTTGTTAATTTGGGTTACCTGGGGAGGAAAAGGTCAGGGAGGGGAGGGTATGAATCTGAGAGAGAGAAAGGGGGTAAGCAAATATGATAACAAAACGAAACAAAAGACATGTGTGCAGCCACATTTACTCATTCATGTATATGTGTAACTATATTAATATATTAAAATAAAAACAAGTATCACTCCACACACCAAGAAAATAGTCAAATAAACCTGAAGAAGCCAGTACCTGAAGCTTTTATTTACTCTCTGTGGGATTAAACCCAGACTCTTATAAGCCTGGCTAACACAACCTGTCAACACCTCTCCCTCTGAGCAGTGAGGCTGGATGAAATATTTTCCCCTAAACTTCTCCCACTGGCCTCAGCTTCCCTTTTGGGAGCAGATAAAATAAGCTGACTCCTTCTAGGGCTTGGTTAAGAAGCAGAGTGGGGGCCCACGCCCAGCAGCAAGACATTGGTCAGAAGCCTGGCTCTGGCCCAGCTGTATCCTCAGGTGGGTGGCAGCCCAGGAGTAGCCTGCTTACCCTCACCCTGATGACGTTGACCTCCACGAGCAGCAGCATCCCGTAGAGGATCACCAGCAGCCCCGTGAGGCAGAAGCGCAGCTGCGAGAAGCCGATGTTGTGGTCATAGAACTTGACAAACTTGATGGTCTTGGTGATAAAGGCCAAGGTCCAGTACACTAGCAGGGCTGCCGAGGATAGAGAGCACAGAGGATGTGTGTGCACAATCTGTGTGAGTGTGTGCGCACTCATGTGTGTGCAAGTGTGTGAGAGGAGAGAAAGTGTGTCGGAGAGGAAATATATGTGTGAACAAGCAAGTGTCATAGATGTGTGTGCACATTTCTGAGTAAAGGGATGTGCATGTGCGAACACATACGTGTGTAATTTTGAGATGATGTACATACATTAAAACATTCATAATAGGCATGTTCAAAACATTAATAATCTTGACCAGTCAGGCTGGTCATCCTTTATAATAAATAATCATAAGAAAAACTAGAAAATTATTTCTTGAATTTAACTAAGTTTAGGCGCTGTGTCAAGTAAGAATTTTAAACGTATGATCTCACTTATTCCTTACAATCACCCTGTGACAGAAGTATTATATCACACTCCCAATTTAACAGACAAAGGAATTGAGGCTCAGAAAGATTAGGTAACCGATCCAAGTTCACATAGTCATTAAGTGGCAGGGCTGCCAACAGTGTCCAACCTATGATGGCTTCCTTGTGGATTTTCCAAGCTGGAAAGATCTTAACGTTTCTTCATTCTGGCCCAGAGAGAGGAGGTAACCTGCCCAAGCTCACTGCAAGCTAGTAACGGAGAGAGGGTGAGGGCCTAGGTCCCTGGCCCCTAAGTCCAGAACCCCCTACAATATGATGATGTTCCACGTAGGGGACTGAGGACTACACAAAGGTGAGTCACAGACCTGTGAGGCAAGTGTATATAGTGATTAGAGCTGGGCTCTGCAGCCAGATACACCTGGGCTCAGATCTTGTGATTTAATAGTAATGTGACTTTAGGTAAGTTATGTAACTGATCTAGGCCTCAGTTTCCTCACCCAGAAAGTGGGGATAATAACAATACTGCGTCAGAGATTGTTGTGAGCAATGAATGGAAAGCATTTAGCACGGTGAGCCTGGCATGCAGTAGGTGTTCTTTGGACATTAGCTGTTAATATTTTTATTATCTCCAGATTTCAGATCTGGGTCTGTAAACATTAGAAGCTACCAGTGGAGTTATCCTCTTAATTCCCACCACCACCACTCACCAATAGAATACTGGCAGCAGGCAACAACAATAAAACAGCACCCCTTTAGAGGGTGCTTTAGCACAGGCAGCTCCTTTCCTCCTCACTCCCTAGGCCATCTGTAGATAAGGTGAACCTAAATCCCCTAGAGTTCTTCTCTATAGGAACCACAGAGAAGTAAGGAAAACTTTACCTTGCCCTCCATCCTTAGGCATTCTTGGATGTGAATGTCAGGGCATCTCTTGGAGACAAAAGCTGGGGTCTGCCCCAGCCTGGAGCTGGGCAAGAAGCTAAGTAGATACTTGAACTAGCCTGGGCAGGGCCAAATGCCCTTTATCTCAGGTCCCTGGGTGAGAGCATTAGGACAGAAGGCAGAAGCATCCTCGGGACTGGGATGATGTTCTCTCAGCTCAGTCTGGTGTCTAGTTCATGAGAAATCCTGCGGATGGAGGCCATCCCTCTGCCTCCACTCCCTCAAACACTCTATCCCAAGCATCAGAACCTCTTTTGCCCTTACTGAGGGTCACTTACTGGGGCCAAGACTGGACCATATGCCTCACACTGGTCTTGCCTCTAACACTTAAAAGAAGCGATCTGATCTGATTTTCATAACAAGCCATCTGATCTGATTTTCATAACAACGACTTAGGCAGGGACTAGCTATTCCTGTCTGGAGATGGAAACCAAGGCTCTGAGAGCCTGACTGTCTTGTCTGAGGTCACACAGAGAGTTAAAGGTGGACCCGGGACTAAGCCCAGGGGGTTATTTCCACAATCCCATCCTACACTGCTGAGCCCTCAGTCTGTTGACAGACAGAGCAGCACCTGGCAGAGGTTTAGTGCTTGACTGAAAAAGGGGGAAAAGAAAGAGAGTGGTACAATACAGGGGCTGCTGGGGAGGTTTAAGCTCAGACTCCTCATTTCTCCTGCTTCTTCCCTCCCTTTCCTCTCCCTCAGCCCCACATTCTACCTATTACAAAGTTATGTCTATTTTACCCCCTAAATATCTTGAATTCATTCACTTCTTTCTATCCCAGAGGCTACTGGAGGCTACCTGGGTCCAGGCTGTTATCATGTCTCCCCTGGACCATCTTGAGACCCTTTTCATGGTTCTCCTACTCCCTCTCCTCCAATCTAGCCCCCACAAAGCAGTAAATATAATCAAATATGATCTCAGTGCACTCATGTTCAGAGGAGAATTATTCAAAATCGACAAAGGTGGAAGCGACTTAAGTGTCCATGGACTGATTAACGGATAAACAAAATGTAGTATATACATACTATGGAATATCATTTGGCATTAAAAAAGAAGGAAATTCTGACCCATGCTACAAGAGGATGAACTTTGAGGATATTATGCTAAATTAAATGAGCCAGTCACAAGAGGACAGAATAGTGTATGATTTCACTTATATGAAGCACCTAGAGCTGTTAGATTTCTAGAGACAGAAAGAATGGTGGTTGCGAAGGGTTGAGGGAAGAGGGAAATGAGAGTTATTGTTTAACGGGTATAGAGTTTCAATTTGAGAAGATAAAAGATGTTGGAGATGGATGGTGGTAACAGTTGCACAACAATATAAATGTACTTAATTCCACTGAGCTATACACTTAAAAGTGGTGACTAGGGTAAATTTTATTTTATGTATGTTCACGCATGCATGTGCAGACCTGCAATTTCTATCTCTGGTCCACACGCAACCTGAAGACCCTTAGACACACAGTTCTCAGAAACGTTTAAGAGCCTGCTGGGGTGCCATACCTCTGGGATTTAAATCCAGCTTCGTTCCTTGACTAGCTGGGCACACTAGTGCAAGTCACTTAACCTCTGAGCCTCAGTTTCCTGATCTGTAAAAGGGAAATAATGATGGTACCTACCTCACAGTGTTTTTGCAAGGATTAAATGAGTTAACATATGTAAAATGCTTAGGATAGTGTCTGACACATGGTAAGTGCTAAACAAGTGTCTACTGTTAGAATTTTTAACCTGAGTTTCAGTGTCCGCATCTATAAAATGGGATAGCAATAGTACCAATAGGGTGATTGTGGGAATTAAGTGAGATAATTCATGTAAGAGCTTAGCACCGAGCCTGGCACATAGTACATGCTCAATAAATATCAATAGTCATCACTATTGTTTCTGCCTGGGACCTAAGCCATGCGGTGTCAGTTTTTTTTTCTTTCCCGAGTCTATCTAAATGTCAGCAAATGCAGGCTCTGGTCCTGGGACCTTTCTCTTCTCTCTCCAGGTGACTAAATCTAGGCTCAAGCTTTAGATGCCACCTATAAGCCTGTGACTGTTTAATATGCATCTCCAGCCCTGTCCTCCTGAATGTCTAACTCATTTATCTAATTGTCCACTTGATTCTTGAGTAGGCATCTCAGCGACATCTCACACTCAACATGCAGACCAAAAACTTGGTCCCCACTCCACCTTAATACCTATTCCTTTGCCATGTTGGTTATTCATACGACTGTTTGCCCAGGTGCTCAGACCCAAAGCCTAGGAGCAAGTCTTCCTTGCTCCTTTCCTGGATCCTGACCTCATCTCCAATCATTCTTCCCCTTGCTCATTTGGTTCGCCCCCACTGGCATCTTCGCCAAGTTTATTTCTATCAGAGGCCTTTGCACATGCTATGTCATCTGCATGGAACATTCTTCCCCCAAATATTTGCATGCTCACCCTTTTCAGAGGCCTCCCCTATATAGTCAGCAACATCGTCATCGCTCTTTACCACTTACCCAGCTTTATATTCTTCACAGCATCATCATTACTTGTTTGTTTGTTTATTTATTTACTGCCTTTGCCTGTCTGTCTCCTTCATAAGCTCCATAAGCTCCACGATGGCAGGGAGCTTTTTCTTTTCTACTTCTAAATCTCTAGCACTTAGAACAGTGCTTGGCACATAGGAAGTCCTCAGTAAACATTAAATGAAGGTAATAAACGGAGGCACCTATCCCTCCCCCCACCTGTTCCCCTCCCCTACCTATCAGCAGCTTGGGGAAGTTGGAGGTCTCAATGTTGTGATAGTAGACCACGGAGGTGACAGCAGCCATGAACGCCATCCCGGCTGGCATGTACAGGTGGAGATGGCGGGATTCGGTCACCCTGAGATGGGGGGTGAGGGGTTGGAGAGAGAGAGACAGGGAGAAAGAGAGAGAGAGCAAGAGAGAGAGAGGGAATGTAGATGTGCTGAGTACCCCAACAGAGCAGCTCAGGCCTTGGGCTAAGGGCTCAGCACACAGTGGGGCCTCCAGGACACCTGCACAGCTCCACACCATATATTGGCAGCTCTGCCCAGCCCATGCCCTAAATATGCCTGTTAACTAAGGAGCCCAAAAGTCCACGCAGAGATGCTATGAGGGCCTGGTGTTCAGGCTTTGAAATTCACGGCCTCCTCTCCCTGGGTTCATACTTACAGAACCTGGCATAGAGAAGCAAGCCTTGGCAGTTGCAGCTACGAAGCCTCTGGCCTAGAATCACTTGTTAGAAAGTGAGCAAAGAAGTTCACTCCCAAAGCTGGGTCTCTGTCTTTGGGGTCCTCTGGGCAGTACAGGGACCTGTACATCACAACTATCTTAGTGACAGCCCCATTTAACATGAACAGCATAAGTCAGCATTGGCACCCCTCCTCAGGTGGTGTAACATATTTAGTTAGTCAATATTTACTGAGCATTTACCATGTACCAGGCACTGTTCTAAGTACTTGATGTATGTTAACTCACTTCATCTTTGTAAAATCTCATGAAGTTGGTACTCTTAGTCTCCTCATTTTATGGTTGAGGAAACTGAAGTATAAAAAGGTTAGGTAACAAGCCCAAGGTCACTGTTTTTGTTTCCTTCCTTTAAATGGGGATGGAGGCAGTCAATACCAGCTCATCACCTCCCCACTTTAACTCACAGAGGCCTTGGTGCATGGTCTCTGTTCTGGTGATAAGACATGAGCTCAGGCTCCAACTTCCCCAAGCCAGAGCTCAGGCTTCCCCATGACTGGTGAGGAGTCTTACCTTACTTGGCCCTGATCATAACCTTCCAAGGCTCCCTACTGTAGATAGCAAAACTCACGGCCTGGCACCAAAGGTTTAATGATGTGACCTAAAACCATTTTTCTACCACTGCCTGGCTTGTTCTTTCTACTGGAGCCATGTTGGGACTCCCTGTACCAGAATGCCTCCTCCAATCTCCTACCTCAGTGCTGCTCTTGCTTGCTCTGCTCCTTCTATCCAGCATGCCAAAGGTCCCTGCCCTTGAGAAGCTGACAGTAGGGATGGGGCAACAAAGCTAAGAGCTAACTGTCTGACCAGACAGTGTAGGGAAGCGATATGGCAGGTGGACAGAGGCTGAGAGCACAAAGAAGGGGGCGGGCAACCAGGGAAAGCTTCACAGAGGAGGTGGCACCAGGCTGGACTCAGAAGGATGAGCAAGAGTTCAACAGAGAAGGAGGAGGGAACCTGAGGAGAACCATGTTAGAATCTCAAGTGGTCTGGGGTGGGACTAGGGTGTAGGTCAGAGGCAGGGTGAGCTGTTTACCGGATAGCATGCTCCTCTCCTTTCTTGCTAAGAGAACCATAAGTTTGCTCCAGCAGCAATATGCCTAGCCCCAGGAATGGTTGGTGATTGGTTCAAGCAGCCATGCAATTCCATACTCCTTTGCCAGTGATTGGTCTAAGAGTGGTTATATCACCTGATTCTGGCCAATGAGATGTAAAGGAAAGTCTGCAGAAGCTGATCTCCCACATAAGGAAAAGGTATATCCCTTTGTCCTTGCTTGAGTGATACCCACAGCTAGGCAGCCTTCTTGTGACCATGGGGGAAGATATGGCCGACACACAGGGGGCATCGTAGAAAGATGGGAAGAAGCTGGGTCCCACATGCCATTGCTAAGCCAGCACACCAACTGAAAAAGGCAACCTTCAGATTTCTTGTTAAGTGAGATTGTAAATGTCACTATTCTTTAATCTTTGATTAGTAGATGGTCTCAGCCAAATACTGATACAGGAGCTACAAGGCAGTCAGTCACTAGTGGGGACACTGCAAGCAATCAATACTCTGCCCAGGGGTTTTCAAAACTCTTGCCTCTGTACTCCTTGAAATAATTTTGAAAAACTCTATACTGTCTCATGCATTCTTAAAGTGACATCTAAAATGTTATATCATTAAGTTTAAATATTCCTTTTTTTTGCAATAGGAGATAAAAATGATAAACATTTTATAAAATGAAATAAAATGAAGAGTAACCATACCTGAAATAAATGTTTCATGACATGACTTCATAAAATGGGTTTTGGTTGCTTTACTGAATAATATACACTGAGTTAGGTAAAAAAAAACTTAGGCTAAAAATTTTATATATGGGCTTTATCCAGTGTATGTGGTCTGGGAAAACACTGTGTGTGTGTGTGTGTGTGTGTGTGTGTGTGTAAAAGTTTCCTCATTAACATATACCTCTCTGGTTGTTCTGAATTCAGAGTACCGCATAGAAATAATACCCAAAGGAAGACAGGAAGCCCTGTCCCCTAGACTTCTAGGCAGGTCTGTAAACCTGGGCTTGGATGGATTGGGAGCACCACTGGGTAGGGTCTGTATGAGACAGTGTAGAGTTTTTCAAAATTATTTCAAGGAGTACAGAGTAGCTTCTCCTCCTGTCTCCTCTCTTCTGATGCCCCTCACTCACGCTCGCTTGTCTAGGGAATGGGCCCACAGATGGAGGCCAACAAACACCAGGTAACAAGTACTCAGTTCAGGAGCTGACCTGCCTGCTGGGGAGGAGATGGTGGTTTGCACTGAGCTGGAGAGGTCTGGGATACAGGTGCAGCCCTCACAGGAGGGGCTGCTAGACACCATAGGAAGGAGTCCAGGACCTGATTCATTCCAGTCTCCCACATTCCAGGAAAGTACTATCTGCCGAAGGCTTTGCCCCTCTGTGCTCTACACCCTATTTGTGCTCTACTTTCATCCTCCATGGCCCTGTGAAGCAGGCAGGGCAGAGATTATGATGCTTATTTCACAGATAGAGAAAGTGAGGCTGGGTGGCTGTCCAAAGTCCCATAGCTACCTACAACTTCTATAGATAGCAGAAGCGCTAGCAGAAAACTCAGGCCTACTTTCTCCATGGGCAGAATGTCTTCCTCTCTGTTACCTGCTAATTATAACCCAGTGAATATTTCTGGCCTGAGGGCTCACAAGACATCCCTTCCCTCTCTAGCATTTGTGTGCTTTGGAAGGGGTGTTGAGGGTGGGGGGCGAGAGGAGGGCTTGTCACCTCTTAGTTATATGGCAGTATGTATCCTGGTCTTCTTGCTGGTTTGGGGACTTTGATAATTGGGAGGAGCTCCAAAGCAAGCAGTCATCACAGAAATTACTGCTGAAGCCAGGATGCAGGGACTTTGCGAGTGGAAAGGTGGGGAGATGCGGGGGATCCCATACCCTTGTCATTCAGCTGCAGGAACCAGGACTGGCAGGAGTGGAGTCTGGGCATAGTCTGATTCCAGCTCAGAGAGGTCGGCCCTCAGATATTTAAGCCACAGGGCCCCTACTCTCCTACACCCCGTCACCCAGGCAGTTGCTGAGCCTCGCTGATTCTTCCATTCCTCCTTAGTGACATGGCTGGTTCACTTCCTCCTTCTGCTCTCCCTCTCTCCCCCATTGCTGACACACCATTTCTGGCTGCTATTATCTTTCACCCAGACTACTGCAATCACCTCCTAAGTGCTGTTTCTACCTTTAGTTTCTCTCTGCCTGCAGCCTCCTCTGGATACCCCGTAGGGTTCTCACCTAAAAGTTCTGTGCTGCTTACATCTCTCTTCTGTTCCAAACTGCTGACAAAATCCAATTCAAACACTCAGCTTGGCATTGGAAGCTCTCCTGGAGATGCTTCCAAGTCTCAGCCTCCATCACTCCCCTCATTCCCCTGCCGTGTTTCATGCGTCAGCCTGCTGCACTGCTCCCACCCCACCTGCTTTTCTAGGTGGTGCCTTTGTTCCTACAGGCAGGGAGAGCTCACTGTGAGGCCACTGGAGGCCAGGCTGAGGACTTGGGACTTTATATACAACTGGGAACCAAGGAAAGATCTTAAGCAAGAGTGATTTTTTTCCCCCAAGAAGGTAACTCCAGCAGCTTGCAGAGGAAGCTGGGCATCTTCCACAGGAGCTGGGGCACTCTAATAGGCTCTAGGATGATTTCATTGGGTCATGGCATGCAGATCCAGGTTCCTTTCACCCCAATGCAGTGAGCAGGGCCTGGGTCTCACTTGTGTTCAGTGCCTGGCAGAGAGCCAGGTAAACAGTTGCTGGATTTAGTAGCAAATGATACTGGCTCATGGAATACAGGTAAGTTGGGATCTCCCTGAGCCTTTCAGGAAGCACCCTGGAGCAGATCCACTCTCCTGAGTTCTCAGAGGGTCACTCACCCATCAGACAGGATGCCCTCTGCGATCTCGCACACCAAGATGAAGAGCAACATGAAGGTCAGGATCCAGCGTAAGTTGTGCCCAGGGAAGTGGAGCCATGTGCTGTGGTGGATGTGTACCTTGGAGCTCTGACTGCCCCATCCTAAAGGAGAGACAAGAAGAAGAAGAGGTGGGAAGGCTGGTGCACTGGGGGGAGGGTGCATGAACCCTAAGAAGGTGCTTAGGTACTGGGTCCATATTAGGGTGAAGATCATACCTATTCACACTCCTGTGCATGAGAATGCCCGAGTCTGGTACACATGAACTCAATGTCCAAGCATGAAGCCTGGACCTGCCAGACTAACCTTTGCAGATACCCATTTTATATGCTGATCTCTTCTGTGACAAATTATTATGTAAATAAACCATGTGTTTGGGAACAGAAGTATAAATGCTGGTATAATTTCTGACATATATTTCATATGCTTCCTTATTTCCAATTGTTTTTGTCAATAACTAGCGACTCTTTGCTTCTGCAGCATCCTCTTCTTTTTAATTTTGTGACAGTCTTTCCTATCTTCCCAAGATCTGCTTTTTTTTTTCTTAATCAGAATGAATTAACACATTTGGAGGAGGCAGAGGACACCCTATGAGTTGACAGAGTTAGCTTGGGAAATTTAAAGTCTTGAAGAGAGACGGAAGGGACCCAGTGAAGATGTACGCAGGATTGTCCTGGCAGTGGCGCCCAACTTTGCAGAGGGCTTTCGAAAAGCAGGGCCGCTGGGGGCCTCTGGCGTCCAGAGTCAGGGTCTGCTGGGCGTGGAGCCTGAGAAGTTGCGCTCTGGAAGCACGTGCCCAGCAGGGGAAGGGGATCCAAATCCCCAGCTCCTACCTCTCCTAGCCCAGGGCGAGTGGGACCCTAGGACCGTCAGACGCTATTGACCACTGTCAGACTCTAACCCAAGGAAACACAGAGGTTCGCAGGGCCTCCATCCCCGCCTCTGAGGAGCAGGCTGCACTCCTCCTGGGCCCAGCAGCGGCTGACAGGGAGCGCGCCTTGGGGGAGGGGTGACCCGGCTCCCCACATAGCACCACTGAGGGCGCAGCCCGCCCCTCTCCTGACCTTTCCAGCGCGTACACAAACCTCTGCTTTGCCCTTTCTCCATCCCAGCCGGGCCCTGAGGTAGCAAAACTTGCGGGGGGTGGTCCCTTGGGTCAAGAGTGTCCGCTGTGTTCGCTGCGGGTTCGGGGGAGCCCAAGGGAGTGAGGGGAGGTGTGGGCGTGCGAGTGCAGAAGACCGCAGGGTAGTACACAGAGCAGGGGACCCTGGCAGCGGGGCGAGTAGCGGTCGCGGGGTCGAAGGGGACACTGAGCGGTGCGGCGCGGCGCGGCGCTCGGCGGTGCCTCTGCCCTCCCCTCCTCCGTTGCCCGCGCGCGCCCTCACCGATGAAGAGGATGGGGAAGGTGATGAAGAGCAGGAAGACGTGCGGCACCACGTTGAGCGCGTCCACGAAGCAGCCGTTGTTGAGGACGCCCTGGTCCACCCGGTAGGCGGCCGAGTGATTCTCATTGCCGCAGAAGGCCAGGGGCATGGCGGTGCAGGCGGACGCGGGCTGAGCTGCGGCTTGCTGCACGCGCCTCCGCGCCTCTGTCCCTCGCCGCTGGGCTGCCCCGCCGTCAGGCTCCCGCCCGCCACCCCGCGGGCCTCGCCCCGCCCCGCTCGCCCTCCCGCTCCCCTCACCCCGCCCTGCTGCACTACCTGCCGGGTCTCGGGGTGTGACCCGGATCCTGACGAGGCGGGGCCACGAGGGGCCCCAGTTTCAGTTGTGGCAGCTCGCACACCCAGATGTGTTCGGGGTCCCTTTGTGAGTGCCCCGCTGCGCGCGTGCGCTGGGAAAGAGAAGGAAGGCAGGCTGGGTGGGTGGGCACGCTCGATTCTGGGTGGAAAGGTGGGGGTGCAGAAGAGAGGAGGGATGTCTGCAAGAGTCTGGAGTAGGCGCGTTCCGGGTCTTGAGTATGAGCTCACTGCCCGGGGTGTGAGATGTGGGCTCACCTGGGCAGTGCGAGAGTGGATGTAGTTAGATTGGAGAGTCCTGCGGGGGGCAGAGTGGAGCAAGTCCCCACCCCATGTGGATAAGAAAAGCAGGTTTGGGGCGCTCATAGGTCCTTTACAGCGTATCCAGCGCTTTCAAATATTCAGTCTTCCAATACTTTTGCTAAGTACAGGTTGTAATTTCTCTCCCCCCCCACCCCTGTTTGTTTGGTTTTTTTTTTCTGATGAGAAAACTGAGGCACAGGAAGGTTACATGACTGACCCAAGGTTTTGCTGCCAGCAAGTGGGGAAGCATAACTTGAACCCAGCTCCTCAGATTTTCCCCCTCCACCACCACCACCACCACCACCTTCCCATCTTCCTAAGGCATGCATCTAATACACTGAACCCTCCCTCCCAACCCCCCACCCCCAGCAACTGGCAGGTGAATGGATAAAATGGGTCCTGGCCCAAGGCTGAAAAAGAGGCCGCCTATGCCATCACAACCAGCAAAGCAATTGGAGGCAGCTGGGAGGGGTGGAAAGAGAGAATGTCACTCTAGGCCATATATCTTAATCAGATACAGACCGGTTTAAGGAGTTCAAGGATCTGGTGAAATTGTAGACAATGTTATGCCTTCCTGTACTTTTCAATTTGAAGAGATTCTCACAGGTCCATGGACAAAAGAGTTTACATCTTACGAAGAAAGAACAGAAAATGGGATTTTAGTTTAGCTTTTAGAAGAATTTCCTGAGTTAGGGGTATGGAGCATAAGTGCATAATAGGAGGGGCTAGAGGGATACCAAGGGAAGCTGTCTTCAGCCATTTTCCTCCTGGTTTCTCTGAGCCTGTTCTGAGGCTGCTTTGAGATTTAGAGCTTTTATAGGACACTGTCAGGCAAGACCTCAGCTCTGCCTCAGGCCCAGGGAGCAGCCAGGGCAGAACCAAGCACCAGGGCAGGGGGCAAGTAGGGTTGGGTGAACAGCCTGGGGAAGGCGAGAGCTCAGGGTCCCAAGGCTTCAGACAATCTCTGACTTTGGGGAATCTCTTTGAAGCTGAAAGATGTTTCCTGCAGCAACTGCCAAAATAGTGAGAAGTTGGTGGCAGTAAATGTTTAGCACTAGCAGCAGGAGTGAATTAATCTGGATGAATGCAGCTGTTGAAAAGGCGATTGCTGAGTGAGTCCATGTAGCCAAATGAGAAAAACTTATAATGTCAGGTGAAAAAGAGAGAAACAAAATTGTGTGTTTCCTATGATTACAGCCATATTAAATATTTATATTTGAATGCAAGCCTGTGGGGGAAGCTCAGACTTGCAAATGGCTATTGCAATTAGAATGATATGCAGTTATGTTACCTACCATTACTGTGCTTTGTTATTGTTATTACCATTTTCTTTCTGTAAAAACAAGACAAATGAGGTTCAGATTGATGAGATGGTGTGCCTATAGTCACCTTACAAGATTTTTTTGAGTTTTTTTTGTTCCAAGTTTTCTTCAAACTTTTTGCAATGTTGCCAATTTGTTTTTGTAGTTACAATTTCAGCTTTTTATACTTTTAGCAATGCTATTTTTCCTTTTAGTAGTAACAATGTATGTATTTTTAAGTAACAGTTCCCCAATATCCATCACTACAAGTGATGTGATATCTGTGCTTCAATTTCTAAATGGGGAAGATAGTAATACCAACCCCAGAGGATTAAAATGAAATCATGGTTTTAAATGTGCTTTATAAGCCAGAAAGATGGTCCAAGCTACTTCATCCCACACAAGGGACCCTGTCAATCAATGAAAGTTATCTAGTGGTCCTTCCCTTTCTTGGCACCCGGCATGAAATGCCTGGCACAGTTCACACACTTGGCTCTTCAGGGCCATTTGAAAAAAACGAAAAGCCTGGTCCAGCCCAAGCTGGTCCCAAACATAAAGGACTTTTGAAGGATCCTCAACTGGGTCTAAGAGAGTGTTAGGTCTGGAGGCTAGAGGCGGGCACCGTGTTTGCCATCTTTAGCACAAACGTACTGTGTGACTGTGGGCACATTCCACCTTCCCAACACCTAGCTTTGTAGTGAGGATGCTCATCACTATGCCTTCTAGCGTCTGACGCTGGAATTCTGGAGGAAGGGCAAGCACAAAGAGATTGCTCTGAGCAGAGGTATTCCTTCCCCTTTGAGAATTCTCAGCCTTCCTTCTGGCAGGATGGAAAACTTGGCATGGATTTCTAGGACCTGAATTCTCCCACTCACTGGCCCACTGGGTGGGTGTGGCCTAAGGCAGGGCCCCTCCTCTCTTTTGTGCAGGCAAGGACTTGGTGCAGAGCTTCTTGAAAGTCTCTTCCAACTCCCATGGTCTGGCTTTAGTGCCCTGTTTCTATCTGACTGACCAGGTGTGTCAGTGACCATGGCAGAGAAGGTCATCAGGATGATAATGATGACAAAATAGAGTGGAGTAATATTTTAAGAAATTAAGCCTTTCAATAACCTTAATCAATAGTGGGCTGGTTAAAAACAAAAACAAAAATTGTGGTATTATCCATATTATGGAATACCATGCCATAAATACAGAGAATAAAGTAGGGCCATCTGTACTGACTTGGAAAGATGTCTCCTTTCCCGCCCCCACCTCCCTTCAGGCAGATGGCTGTGAAGCTGTGGCCAGGTGGAAAGCAGACAATAGCCTGTGTCCATGGGAGAACTTAGAAGACTGTAAAATCACTAAAAAAGAAGATTGAATTACAGACAAAATGTCAGGGCTGGAAGCCGGGAGAGAAAGTCATTTCCCCTTTCATCTCCATGCTGCCCTAGGTCAGGAGGAAGAGAAGAGAGAAGTTCTGGAGAGCTGGAATCTCTGCGCAGCCTCCCTGCCTTCCTGCTGTGTGTATGTGTGTGTGGTGGGGCGGAGAGCCACCTAGCAAGGGAAAAGCTGTACGTTGTGCCAGAAAATCCCCACAAGAGCTATTTGAAGAAAGATTTTTCTTACCCCAAGGCAGGGCCAGCAGACTATGGCAGAAGCAAGGGACCCTCTGCCATACTTGCATAGGTGGACGATGCAGGAACGTGATGGACCCTCCCAGTCTCTTGGCATCACAAAACTGGTGAGGTAGGAAAGGCACTCCAAGAAAATCCAGTGTTAATATTTTCTGCCAGCCTGGTGGAATGGGGCTTGAAATAGAAATTAAAGTTCTTGTTCCTGCCCACTTAAGTTTTGGTCCAAGAACATCCTCACTACAGAAGGGTGGTGACTGTATGCATGGCCTGGATGCTCTACACTCTTGAGGCCACTTGAGGTCAAGCACAGACTCTTATTGCACCCCCAAAAGATCCAACTTCCCAGTGCATCAGTTAAAAATGGAGACTTTGCTGAAATCTTCACAGGGAGGTAGAAAGATCTAATTTGAATACCTCACAGCAGAAATTTAGTAAAATCCTCCACCATTTCTCTACCTCAAAGTTCTTCTTTGCATGTTACTTACATCTCCTCTTCCTTTTTTCTACACAGCCTTTTTAAAAATATGCCCCTTATTCCCCAGAACAATTCGGCGTTTGCCTCCAGTTTGCATACCCACTCAGAGTTTCTTAAGCACGACTGTTCCCCTTCCCAAGCTGCTGACCATCCTCAAACCTGCTCCCTTCCTGGATGAATAAATGGGGGAAAGTGGGAGAGAACAAGATGTTCTCCCTTTTGTTTCACCAATAGCTGTTGAGAGCTTAGTATATGCCGCACACTTACCCTGCTTTAGATCTCAGAGTAACTCTACCTGTTACTATTTTATCAGAGTAAGCCGAGGCCCAGAGGAGCTAAGCCCATTCCCAAGATCACACAGCTGGGAGTTGTTAGAGAAAGAATTCAAAGCCAGTTAGGCCTGGCTTCACAGCCTGTGCCGTTAACCACTTCCCAAAGGGATGCTGGGCATACGGAGGGCTTTTCTGCCTCTGAGACTTTGTCTCCTGAGGAGGGAATGCAGGCCCCAAAGAACAGACCTTCGGGGAAACCTGTCTATCTGTGCATTTTTCTGTGTTAAAAACCAAAGGAAAGTCCCAATAATGGCATCAGTCGCTGGCATAAGTCAGGAGGCCAGATGGAAGGACTTGAATAAAGGAGCTCTGCTGACTGGGGCCTCACCCTGTGGGTGAAGTGGCATGCAGATGACCCTGAAGTAATTTGCTTTGGAGACAACCCCCATTAGTGATGGAGGGAAATGACTGCATGTGAGCTGCACGCGTTCACTTCATGGTCTGGCCGTGCTGTGGGATCCCATTAGGTGCACTAGCCTGCCCCTCTACCCACCTGAGGCCACACTCAGCAGAATCTCCATCTGGGCTCAGCCAAAGAGGACACCTCTTTCTGGCACAGCCTGGCTCCTGGGAGTTGCCTCTGGCAGGCACAGCATGGCTTCAGCTGTTTGAGCGTGGAGGACTCTGCTAGATCTGGGACTGAGGCCAGGTGAGGTGGGGTGCTGCTGAACAACCTGCCTTCCCTGCACCCTCCTTCTCTTAGTACCTGTCCCCTGAGAAGAGGCTACCTGGACCCAAACTCTATGCTGGGGAACTTCGGGTCCCAGCTC